GCGTGCGTGCGTGCGTGCGTGCGTGCGTGCGTGCGTGCGTGCGTGCGCGCGTGCGCGTGCGTGTGTGTGTATCTTATTTTATTTTGAAACTGGTATTCTATTTCTTTAGCCTAGTTATTCTATATCCGGAGAAAACTTTTTCTTCATTGATAACAATTAACATTATTCTTGCCTTATAAGATGTACATTTAACCTTTCCATTTATGCTTTATTTTAGATTAAAGTTAATTTCGTTATGGAACAATGGTGAAGTGGCGGGCTCAGTGACGCCCCCTGGCGGCGCAGAGCGGTGCGAGTGGAGCTCCGACAAGCGATTGCTTGCTACTGCAGGTATAGTATTATAAGCTCACTAACGGCAAATAGAAAAATATTCTGCGCGTGGGAAATCTTTTAAAACGTTCTTGCACTTATCTCATAGCACTTGAACCATTTAAAACAAATTTCACCACATAAAAAATAAATTAAACGAAAGTAACTGAACAACATAAATATATATATGTACAATAAGTGTGTGGCAGGGGTAGAACATATGCGCAGCACTGATTATTTAAATTTAAAGATAAGTTCACATTTTAGATTTTACTTGATGGAAACTGACGATGAGGTCGACAATAGAGCAAGCACACTTAAGTAATGCCTATTCTCACTCGATTTTCTGCTTGTCCCCAATGTTGTGGATATGCAGATATATAAAACTTATTGATATAAAAATTGAAAGGCGATGGGGGTCGATTCAGAATCTTACGATAACTCAGTTGTCGACCAATTCGATTTGATATCATACAATTTCTTTTATTTTTATTCACAACACCCGAATCGAACGTCAAACTGCCGTATTCGAAACCGAACCGAAGTGACGGCACACCCGTACGATTACTTGAACTTCTCGACCGGCAAAGGTTACAAACGTTATTTAGAACACAGTTATCGAATGAGTTACCGAACGTCCTTTTGTTTATAAAGCAAGAATGTAATATGGATATCTCTTATTATTTTAAATAAATTCTGGATTTTGTTATATTTTATTAATTTATTTTAAATTAATAATGCTTTTAAAGTCTTAAAAAAAAAAGAATTTTCATTTTTCTTACGATATCGTATCCGAATCCAACGTTTAACCCGAATGTTCTGTATAGCTCGGAAAACGCCCTTCGAGAACGATATCCAATCGACCGATTCGGTTAAAATATCGATGACTATTAAATCGGGGTCCTGGTCCTTTAAAATACCAAGAATGAAAGAGAGTCATACACTTTTTCATTCTTGGTACTGTAAAGACTGATGCGTGCGGAGAATAATGTATGATATGTCAGGAACGTAGTCAGTAGAGTAAAAAAGTCGTTTATTGCCAGTAGTTCTATGTACTCAGTTCCATGTGGAACAATTGTAACCCAAAAGTTCCATACCACCCACTTCCCGCTTGTTCCTACTAGTTCAATATTAGTGGGAATAAAAGTTATTAAAAATAATAATAACAAAAATAATTTTGACAGTATATATTTTTAATTGTGGCCCGCAGTAGTTGTATTTGCATCATATGCACTTAATGAGAAATAAAATATGTATAGGGTTTTGAATAAAATTTATTATAGGTGATTTTTATTACGTCGTAGGTCGTGCGTACTTAAACGTGTACGTGACAGCGTTGCCTTGTCTGTACGCTGCGTACGGCACGCGGGTTATCACTCTCACTAGCTTGACAGAGGCTACGGTGTACCAGTGTATTCCTGTAGGGGATGAACCGGAATCCATTAATAAGTGTAAGTTGGCGTATAATTACTTTTATACAGCAGAACAACTTATAGCTTTAAAATAAGCTAATGTATAACAAGAAGCTCCATGACTTCGATGTTCCAGAAGTTAACGTTTGGCAATGGGGCTTGATGGTAGGACCAATTTGGTAAACAAATTTATCTAAATTTTTTAATTTATTTATTTATTACATTTAAAGCTCTAAAGAACAAAACATTGCAGTATAACATAAACATAACTAAGTTTTTCCATATACTAAGTTTTTCCGTATACTATTGGTTCTGGTCATTATTCTGGCAATCATAGTATATCCTAGTTTGAGACCAGGTGAGTGGTGAGATTGGTCTCACGTTCTTTCTTTGTTCTTAGCGGAGCCACTAGCTCTTGCAACCTACGCTCTACCAACGGAACCAAGCCTTATAGCGCTCGGAGCGTCTCACGTTTGCTGCGTGAGCGGCGCGCACGCATGGTTCTACCCACTAAGTGGGGGTTCAGCTTTAAGGAGGCAGTACCCTGCACCCGTGGACGTTATGAGGGTAGCCGGACAATATGCCGCGGCATTGTATCAAGGACGCGCTATGTTGCATTCGGTAAGTTTTAGTATCAAATTAACTTTTTTAAACTGTTTATATATTTAAGTGCTTGATCATATTGAACATGTCAGCCCCATTAGAAAAACAACACAACAAGAAAACCTTAATATAATTCAAAAAGGCGTCGAAAAACCAAATACAAAGACACGACAATAAGCACATAGAAAAATTCGTGAAGTTCGCAGGTTCGTTCCGTGGCTTAAGTTGGTATAGCGTCTGGCACGGTATAATAGAAGACATCGGTTCGAATCCGGCCGGTTCGAAGGATTTTTTTGCTGAGTGTTCGATCTTTGTATTAATAATTATAACAAACTAGTGGAGTAATTTCACATAAAAAACAATTGAATGTCAATTCATTAAAAATTATAATTCAAACAGATAAATCTTATCAAAATACTATTGTAGGGACACATGTGCTGACGTTACGATTTCAGCCCTCCTTGTGTGCACAGTCAGTCACCGTCTGTCGCGTGCCCGGTCCGAACGATTCCAGCAATATTCCTCGCCATAAGTAGTTCCGAGTAAACCTGTGTAAATCATGTAATTGTTTTGTACCGTATACTAACTGGCAGTGAACAATAAAAGTGTAACAAGTAAATTATAACGGAGTTTTGACTTTGTCTGGAATCCCCGTAGAGAGCACGTTAAATCCGGGTGGTTAATAAGACGACCCATAAAGTTCCTAAACTACTTAACATTGTGTATGTAAAATTTTGGCAGCACTATAAGTTGACTCCGTCAAAACGGACTGAAAGCGCCCAAAATTAAGTGTACCCAAACCAACCTGTGCAAATAACCGCGTTAAATAAACGTTGGTTTATGTGAAAAACAAATATATGCGATTTAGATCCGAACAAATAGTTTCATATCCTAAATGTCATGAGTTATTATGAAAAATTATGTACTAAACTATACATAATACTCAATATATTTATTGTCTTCATATGATACACAAGGTCTTAAAATTAAAATAATGTTAGTCATTTTAATTGTTCACTATCAATATATGTATAATTAATGGCACTGAGAAAATTCCCATTAAATTAAATTACAATAATATGAATATACAATATAACATAAATCAAGATTTATTTATTATTTATTAATTTAATTATTTAATTTTGTCATTAAATCCTTCACTTAAATTGTAGTAAAATTTATGAACTAAATTTTATATGTAGGGCGTCACTGTTAATTAATGCTCAACGTTATAAATATACAACCTCAAATGGCTTTGGTTGATTCCGCGTAACAGAGAAGTGTTGAATCAATAACTTTGGAAAAAATCTAGGAAAATAATAATCTAATATTGTAAAATTTAGGATATATGCTGATTAGTATGTGGTGTGAAAACACGACTCCTAAAAATTTTCACGATAGAAAAAAAAAACACAAACTTACCTCGAAATTTTACAAGAAAACAGCTGTATTCAATAGGTGGTTTACATATACCAATATTTACAAATACCAATTATTTTTCCTAATATCAAATGAACTAAATAGAATACATATTGCATCCGATACACATTTTTCGAATGGCTTTAATTTCGTTTGTATAATAATTTATTCTTGAATAAAGCCGTATAGTACGGGAAAAAATTGAATTCGAGCTGAGGTAGTATCGACTTTTAAAGAGACAAATGTTAACAATTAAAATAATGTAGTCTATATTCTAGAATAGAGTGTCTATATCACCCTCACATACTTTGTAATGTTTTTACCAGATTGAAGCACCTGACCCATCGTCTCCCGAAAAGGACGCCATCTTGTTCCCGGAACCGCACATGCAAGGAGCCAAAATAATGGACATCTACCTCACCAGCGACTTCTTCATATTTGTCACTGACGTAAGTGTAGTATACGCTCGGACATGGACACATAATTATATTATATGAATAGCATTAGAGTTCCTTGTGAAAGAGTTCTTCCAAGGAAGTACTGCCGCTTTGCCTATTTCTGCCGCCAAGCAGTAATGTTAGCATTACAGCGATCTATTTTTGAAGGGTAAGGGTGCCGGTGAAATTACAGGCATATGGGACTTTTCAATTCCATGAGCGGAGACGAGGCCTTGTCCCCCCTTAATACGAAGCCGAAACCACGGCGGGCGCGGTGGAGTATTACTGTACGCATTTCCACGTTGCCAAAGCTTGTGAATAAAAAATAAATTGAATTAGAAACTGACTAGGGTTGGGCAAACTACGTGCTATGTATTAATTAAAATATAAAATACTATCATGACGTGTATTGAACTGCAATTCTTACCAGACGAGCTTCGACCGCGCATCTCGCGCGCGTCTGTATCGCGTTTTACGCGCATTTGAATCAATACAAACGCATCAATATGCTTTTCGAGCTGTGCATAAGCTCTTACAGTTCGTTTCAACCCTATTGATTGTATTGTATCCTATGTGCAGCAAGGGCACATTGAGTACTTCGGCGTGGAGGAGTGGCGCTCGTGCGTGCGGCGCAAGCACACGTGCGCGCTGCGGTGCGTGCACTGCGACATCGGCGGCGCGCGCGCAGCCGTGCTCGACGTCAAGCGGCGCGCGCACGTCTACGCGCCAGCCAACGACGACTTGTGCGCCGTGCCGCGCCGGCAGCCCGACGAGGTCAAGTGAGTGAAGCAGCCCCGGCTGTCCACGGAGCCTTCGGAATATAAAGCTGAAAAAAAAAAAAATTGAATGGATTCTATTGCGAACAATGTGAACATTATTGATAAATATTTACTTTAGTGTCTTGAAAACAGTGACACATTTTATAATAAACTCGAACACGTGCCATAACTCTGTTAAAGTAATTTTTAAGTTTATTGAATGTCACGATGTTTGACCACCACGATATTCAATTATTTTTGTGAAATTTAGTTATAATTAAAATAAAATAAAAAAGTATTAATACAAAGATATAAGACGAAGAAAATATTCTTTCGATCCCGATGGATTCGAACCAACGTGTTCCAGCAAAACTGTACCAGACGCTATGCCAACTAAGCCATAGAACAGACTAGCCGAGCTTATGAATTTTCCTATGTGCTTGTTGCAGACCTTTGTTTTTGGTTTTTAACGACTTTTTTGTCGTAGCTCCATCTGACTCGGTTTTTGTGGTACTATTACTACTATAGTTTTAAACCTCGTGTGCAGATTTTGAATATGAACTGGTATGTTATTATAGAAGCGTATACATTGCCCCGTAAATAAATTTGTGACAACTGTCAGGAAGCAGGAAGCCTGTTTATTTTTGTTCCACATATTAATGTTATGTTTATCACTATTTTTCATAAAATAATTACTATTCTTCTTAACATAAATGATTTTTTTTAATTCTCTTATTATTTATTATTATTAACCTAGTATTATTTTTTACTCATACTTACACTTTCTTACTTTGTATTGATTTTCAGAGGAGTTATCTGGGATATTTGCCTATCAGACCGCAACGTGTTCATAATGTACACAGACGAGGCCGTCGAGACTTACTACTACGCGGCAAACAGCATCAACGGGTCGCACGTTGACTTCGTGTCTGCCACCAGTATACTGCCGGGACAGATCCCGCTTATACTGTTTTCGGGTGACATGTACTGTTACGCTAATGGAGGGGCGTAAGTACGATTTTCATCACACTTGCTCGTAAATAGTATGACTGCATGGCGGCTAACTTGACTATAATGCCCCAAATAAAACCATTACAGCCAAGGTCGGTATGGAGTTTTTTTTTAATTTGTAGCGCGACGTATTTCTATGGAAGGTCAGGTTTAAATTCTATTTTAATCCTCCTTGGTTAAAAATTAAAACATTTGCTTAAAATGTTATCTAAACAAAAATTTTATTGTAATTTAGCCACGTACTACTTAATTTTTTTTTTGCAAAATCCATAATTGTTGTGTTGTGAATCATATTTATTCATACAAGATTGTATTTATTTCCTCGCGCATGTGATGAAAAACATTGTATGTATCACAGACGGTAAAAAAATACGAAACTCGAGCTATTAAAGCCCTCCTTCGGCTTCGGGCTTCTAATAGACCCTCGTTGGCAATTTCTTATTTTCCGTCCTTAATACACAATGTAGTATTACGGTATTATTTTGTAAAGTCCAGTTTTCGTATTCCTTTAAGTTTTACGATACGCTTGAATCTGCTAATGACCTTAAGTCTAAACTGTCAAGGTAAACAGGCATCGTTGACCTTATCATCACTTTCCATCTTAACTTCTTTAAATAAAAAATGGCTTTAAAAAATTGCACAATGGTCACTTTTCAGTTGTCATTTTTCAGAATATTGCCATAGTTGTGTTGAATGAATGACAACATAGAACAGTAATGTATATTTTAATTATACTATATATTACAATAAATTTATCGTACAAGAGGTGTATGTGCACAAGAAATCGTGGTATTGCTAAGTAGTAATATCTTCCAGGCAAGCTTGAAGATAGAAACTTAGGAGAGGCAAATTGTATAGGCACGCATGACTTATTATTTTCCTGTTAATATATTGAATTCTGTAGAAAGAGTAGACTTTTTGTTTTTTTAACGTAGATTTGGAAAGTATAAAAAATACTACAAAATGAAATTAAATTTGAGTCAATTTAATAACAGTAAATTGGCAACATGAGAGGCAGACACTCGAGTGTGAAGATAGAGACCTGATATCCGAGAACCGACGAAATTTAAAAACGTTCTGTGATTATCCTATAACAGAAATAGATATATTGAACTAATAGAAATCCAAGAATAACTTGTGATATTTTTGTTAAATTGAACGAAATTTTGTCATTGCAGAGTACAAAAAGTATCTCTTGACTCGCACAACACTAGTGGCCTAGCGGACCCGGATGCAGAGAAACGTTTAGCGAACCAGAGAAAACATATTGAGAAGCTCTTGTTGTTGAGACGGTTCAGTGAAGCGTGGTTATTTTGCGATGCAGTGGACGAAGTGGACGTGTGGAAGAAGATGGGGGAGACTGCAGTTGCCGAGCTCAATGTGGAATTTGGTAAGAAATAATTTGATCATAGTGTAACTTTGTACTGCATCGTCATATTCAGCCAGGTTGTTCCCTGCTGAATACAGGGCCTTGTCATCTTTATTATTACTACCAGCTATTTATAAATACATTGTTTAATATGTATATTAATCTCGATTTTGAAAATTTCAATAAATTACGATTTGTAGAATATTTAGAACACCTCTCACGTGCGGTAGCACATAAAAATTATTTTGGTAGTGGGTGCTTTCTTTTGCTCACACCAAGTTATCACCGTTTAGAGCGATCTATTTAAATATTTTTATTTCTGTACGAAAGAAAAATCTGAATAATTATTAAAAGTGATGGAACAAAGGTTCTTGCTTGTGACGTTATCGTTAGTCCTGCGAGCTTGTTAGTATTTTACAAATATATTCCAAGATATTCATATATTTTTTTGTAAAAATTGTCTTCTAGTTTGTTTTTATTGATACAATGATCGAACAACACAAAGAAAAATTCCATCGACCTGACTGGACTCGGACTCGAAGTTCAGTCAGACGTAGACTAATTTGAGAAAAAGTTCGGTATTAAATACAAGATGACGTTAAAATCAGCGAATAGTAGCGCCGTGCTGACCCTTCTTCCTTCTTACTCTAACCTCACCGTAGAGGGATCAAAACTCGGTAGATTAAACACTGTAGCAGCATGTGTAGAGACTTGATGCTTGAGAAGTTGACGCACTATGCAGCAAAAACCATTAGGGATACCGTAAACAAGACACACTCACGCCTTCAAGCGTTCACTACTATTTGTTGAATCTCATACGTTGCCCGACGCAGTCAGAATGCCTATATTATGCGTTACACCTTCATACACTATATGCTTGATTTTACAATGATTTCAAAGAAAAAAACATTTTTTTCAGCAATCCGAGTTTACACCCGACTTAGCGATGTCGCGATGGTCTGGGCATTGGAAGACGCGTCGCATATTGAGGATATTTCTATTCTTTGGTAAGTTTATTTGGCGCAGCAGTGTTTCACAGCGCCAACCACCCTATATATTATCACCAGAGATAAAAAAATATATTTACCCAAACTTCAAGTAATAATAATAGATATTTACTTCAAAAATCATCGCATGATTAATGGTAGTAGTTCATTGAGAAAGTGGTTGCTTTTAAATTGGTAGATCGACGATGGCGACGTGTACTTCGACTTTAATTTCTAAGTTACGTACTTTTCGAGTTCTTAGGTTTTCGCGATTGTTACACTTAGGAAATGAAACTATTTTTCAGATTTAAATTACGTATGTTGGTAGATAGATAAATAATACACTTTATTGCTTACACACAAAAACAAAAAAGGTACATAGACTACTAAGAATTAATGTGGGCAAAGGCGGCTTCATCGCTCAGAGATCTCTTCTAGACAACCTTTGAGGCAGAGGAGAATTGAACAGAAAGGGAGACGTAGTGTGCCTGTGGTAAAAATGTAAATACATTTATACGGTCTGTTTGTACAATTCAGTCAGGTCAAGTAGTCTGCTCGGAGGTTTAGTCAGGACTGCCCTTGTTGTTCATTGTCAAAAGAAAGCATGGTCGGTCGTCGTCTTTTGTCCAAAGAAAGTCGGTCGAATTTCGAATTGCTGTCAGTCTAGTAACTCTGTCTTTGTGGCCTGTTAGTCTGGTCAGCCATGGAGGCTGGACGCGACAGCATTATTAAAAAGTTGCATTATCATATTGTCAAATAATACATGTAATAAAGTATAAGACAAATACTAAGGTTTCCTCAACCACACCAACATTTCCGGCCCTTTACAGGTCAAAGGCGTGACCCGATTTAGATCCGAAAATTGTTTATTTCTAACGTATTGTGAATGGTTAGTAGTACCTGGGTTTTGAAGAGGGTGTTAGAAATCGTGTGGAGTCCCAACCCGCATTGAACATGCCAGAGTGTATAGACCCTCTTCCATGTTCATTGCGGTTATAAATATTTTAGTACTGCCACATTACTTATTTCTGCCAAGTCGAGCATTACTACGTTTCGGGTTTGAAGGGTAAAGGTGCTGGTGAAATTAAAAGCACATGGGACTTATTAATTTATAATAATAATAATAACGCAAAAAGAGTAAGATTAATTGTATTAATATATACACCAGCATATTTAGCAGAACAAAATACATTGAGAATATAAAACAGTAACATTTATATTTAAATAAATAATAATAACAATTACGCACACACTCAACATAGCCCACGCACTAGAGAAAACCTGTGTCGCGGGTGCCATGGACACACACATAGACAACCACAAATTAAACCCAAACTCACGAGAGATATAAACGTAGGCCATAGAAATATTTTTCCCGGCTCGGGGATAACCGTTTGGCCACGGAAGCAGTTAACTTGTGTCGGCGCAGTGGAAGTGCCGCTCAGATCTTTGTGTTTTAAAGCTCTGAATGACAAAGCAACTATTACGGACAGGCATATCGCTTACTACCAGGCTCACAACTTGTTTGAGTATATAACCAGAAATAGAGACGAAATGTCATTTAATTTGTTTGAAAACTATTCTGCCAAATAGCGCTCCGATTGGCCAACCCGAATTCGAAACAATTGACGGGTGTCGTCAATTGTTTCACCTCAAACAACCAGTTTAACTTGAGCTGTGCTATAATGGAAGAAAAGAAAAATTTGACATTTAATATTTAATTACCGGTGAAATGTGATTCCGTTTGTTTTGTAATTAGATGTTTTGCTGTTTTTCTTACATCACCGAATGGAATAGCCCCCGTTGTTAGAGATATTATATTTATTACAATAAATACAAAATATTTCTGGAATATACGGAGATGTACACACAGGTCAGTTGTTGGCGCTGTACTTTTTCAGTTTGTGATTTCAGCGCAAACGAAACTTGATATTTAAAAGTGATATAAGGCCCATTTACTTGATGAGTTGCCATGGATGGATGGCCCTTATTTAGTTTCTATTTCTGATTATATACTCGATGGTCCCTTTACTCGGCATCATAAAAAAAGACCCGTCCCCAGTGTGCCGTACGCGTTGGCAATTCAAGGCAAGTTTAGTTCGTAACTCAGTGGGATGCTGTGCGCGTGTCTGGGCAAGGGCGAGGCGGCGGCGCGTTGGCTGGAGGGCGCGCCCAATGCGGCGCTGTACGCACTAGAGCTGCACGCGGCGCGGGGAGACTGGGCGCGGGCCGCCGCCATCGCCGCCTCCTCCTGCGCCGCCCAAGCGCCTGCCATCACTCTGCATCGGGCACAGCACCTGGAGCTCACGTGCGTACTTTTCTCGAACACTTATGCTTTTCTTTCCAACTGATAACATGCACGGAACCTTACTTAACCCTGGGTATAATAAAGCCACATCGACCCCTCCTACGTCAAGTATCGTATGTCGAAATTGCCAAGTTTACAGGGGAGCGTTTTAAAGTTCTGGATTCACTGAAATAAGCATAACACGTGAATTTAGCATTTCTCAGTTTTATTCGAGAACGAGTTTTACAGTAACGAGGTTTGCCGAATAAAACTGAGAAATGCTAAAGTCACGTGTTATGCCCATTTCAGTGAATTCAAAACTTTAAAACGCTCCCCTGTCAACTTGGCGATTGCGACATACGATATTTTAAGTAGGAGGGGTCGACATGTGATTATACGTCAAAAGTGCTTTAAATCACATGAAGATGAGAAAATTAATGCGAAGTACACGAAACAAATTATTTATTATGTGAAATTTTAAAATTCTCCTAGTTAAGCATAAAAAGTTATTGACTAATTTCGTTCGTAAAATCTTTACAGCTCTCTTCTGAAGTTAACATTTTGGACATGTGACCTTATTATTCCAGAATTACCTTCATCAAAATATTTTTTATACAAAACATTTGACCATTGCGTACAATATCGAAATGACTACGTACCGCACAAAAAAAATACAACGCTCCGATCTATGTATATAAAAACAACACTTAAAGTGGAAAAAACAAAGATAAATTAATGTATCTTACCATCGTCATTTATTGTCGTCTTTAGAACACAATTTTATTTGTGACACAGTTAACGTCACACAGTGCTGTTCTCATAAGTCCGTGAATTAATTCGTAAAACCTACTCTAAAAAATGTACAATAAACACAGATAATTTGTATGCAATTATCATTTAAAGTAGAGCTGCTTGTGAAAGAGTTCGCCCAGGGAAGTACTGCCACCTTACCTATATCTCCCGCCAAGTAATAATGCTCACATTATTGCGTTCCGGTTTTGAAGGGTAAGGGTGCTCGTGAAATTACAGGTACATGGGACTTGTCAACTTGTGTCTCAGGGTGACGGACGCAGTGGCAGTGCCCCTCAGATCTTTGTGAATTAAATTTTTGAGTGGCACTGAACTGTTATGGATAGGCGTGTCGCTTACTACCAGGCGCAAGACTCGTTCTTCCTGTAACTTGGTATCACAAAAAAAGAATAATTTCCTGAGCCATGTCGATAGGATTTCATATTATATGGAGCCTTCGGTGTTGATTGATGCTATCTGTATGTTACAGTGCGGACTACCACGAAGCCCTGGCAAGCTACGAAAAGAGTCTAATAACAGATTCCACTGACGATCCAAAAACAATAGAACATAACAACAAATGCGAAGCGGGCATAGCACGAATGTCTATCCGATGTAGTGACGTCATGCGCGGAGTTACCATGGCTCTAAAACATGCAAACGATACCATGCTACTAAAAGATTGCGCGCAAATACTCGAAGAAGAAAAACAATACAGCCACGCCGCCGCTTTATACGATCACGCTGGCAACACTGAAAAAGCAGCCTCTCTATACATAAAACTCAAGTCTTGGTTAAAAGTGGAAGCGTTACTACCGAAAATAAACTCACCCAGTATTCACATACAGTATGCTAAAGCGAAAGAAGCTGAGGGAAGATACAACGACGCGTTGAAATCTTACTTAAAAGCGCAGGATTACGAATCTGCTATACGACTGTATTTGGATAAATTGAATGATATTGACGAAGCTGTAAATTTAGTTCAGGAAACGAAATCAGTACAAGGAGCGAAGATGGTTGCTAATTATTTTCAGAATAGTGACGATCCGACGTCGGCTATAAAATTTCTCGTCATGTCTCTGTGCTACGATGAAGCCTTTCAACTTGCCAGAAAGAATGGGAAGTTACATTTATACGGAGAAATATTGATACAAACTTCACAAGCTAGGCCTGAAGATTTTAAGAGTTTAGCGTTGCATTTCGAAGGGGAGAAGAATCATTTGTTGGCGGGAAAGTTCTATTTTCATGCTGGTGAATATTCTAAGGCAATATCGCACTTGCTGAAGACTGGCGGATCTGAAGAGGAGGAGAGTGAAGGAATAAGTATTGCCATTGATGCTGCTGCCGCTAGTGACGATGAAAGACTGACTCGCCGGTAAGTGCATCACCTATTCAAAAGTCCATTTCACATAGGATGGGTACTGTGACATTTCAAATTTTTACGTTGCATGCATACTATTTTTAACTAATCTCTCAACCAGCTTACAAAAATAAATAGTAAATTTGTTATAATATTCCAAAAACAAACAACATTTGTTAGCGTTGTAATTTTAAGTAAAAATTACCGTATATTAAGTAGATATAAACAAAAACGATAAGATAAAAATAAATTACCCCAATAACTTACAACAAAATATTTTTCAATAGAGATTGACATCATAGAATCGATGAATAATCGAATCAGCTATTATGTATCTCACGTCAATACGAGTGCATATACCTAGTATGCGGGACGATTTATTTTGTTTTGAGTTTTGCATATTACTCAAATTTGCTGTTGATGTTATGTTTTGTTGTTGACGTTTTGTTTGGTTATTGTTGATTTTTTATTTATAGTGTATTTTTTTTAGTAACTTAATAATATAATGACCGAATTCTTTTTGCTTTGTTTATTATTTGTTCTCAAATTATTGTCCCTAAATCGGTCCTCTTTTCATTACAAATTATCTCGAAAATCGATTGAAATATCTATTACATCCCTAGACTTCAAATCTCAAACGTCACTGTACCCATGCTATGTGAAATGAACTGTAAAAAGCTTTCTATGACCCACTGCTATGGTGCTTTTGATTCTAGTTAGTTTCATCATTATCATCAAGCCATTTATACGTCCCACTGTTGGGCACGGGTTTCCTCTTAGGTGAGGATTTAGGCTGCAGTCTGACCGCGCGTCCATTGCGTGTTGGGGTTTTGACACGTTTTCCTTTACCGAAAGCTCGTACATCAATTCCGGAAAACTCAAGAGGTGCGTCAATGTAATGGCAGTTCCCCGATACTAAAAAAAACAGAAGCGATTAAATTGTAAGGGGCATCGGATTTTATTGGCATTTGTAGGACCCACACAGGAAAAGTTTTAAAATATCACCAGTATTATCAGTTCATTAAAGAAATGCCCAAATCGTTAACTTGCAGGCTAATAGAATTCCTGCTAGGAGAAACCGACGGCACGCCTCGCGAACCACGACACTTGTTCCGCCTTTACATGGCCAAGAGGCAGTTCGCTGAAGCTGCCAAGACTGCGGTAAGTTCTCATGAGCGACTGTAAAATGCTTGTAAACTGTAAACAACAACACACATAAACAAATTAGACTTTGAAACACGCGATGATTAGTAAAAAACTTTGTATTTTTTAAGTTATTGAACGTCACAATGTTTGACCACCATGATATTCAATAATTTTTTAACCGACTTCAAAAAAGGAGGAGGTTCTCAATTCGACTGTATGTTCTTTTTTTTGTATGTATGTTATGCGATAACTCCGGTATTTGTGAACCGATTTTCATGATTCTTTTTTTGTTGGAAAGGGGGTACATGGAAGTATCCCAGTGGTCCCATTTCATTTTGAAGAAAATCATCCACTTTGAAGGGTGGCTGCTCACGCATGAAGATTCATTTTTATAAATAGCGCCTAACTTTAATTTAGGAGCATTTACTTTAATGGTTGATTTTGATATTTCTCCAATTCAAGGCGCTTTTCTCTCAATATACTTTGAGTAGTGAGAACCGATTTTTATTATCTCCGGTGTCAAGTCCTGTATAGTGGAGAACTAGGGGATATTTCAATAAAACTTAGCAAATAGACGTAATGCCACGTACTTTTGAGGTCGGTTTTTTTAGTACTCTGTACTGACATTATGTGAAATTACTCTCTACTACTTTGTTATGATTATTAATACAAAGATCGATTGGTTGGCATAGCGTCTTACTTACTTTAATTACAAAGCTCGAGTCATTAAAGCCCTCAGCCTTCGGCTTCGGGCTTCTAACAATTTCTTTTTAGTAACTTCTTATTTCCTGCCCTTAATACATAATGAGCTATTTTTCGGACTGGTTTCCAGGTGATCATAGCAGGTGCAGAATGCCGCGCAGGCAAATACCGCGAAGCGCGCGACGTGGTGCGATCCATGTGCGTGTCGCTGCGATCGCGGCGAATGCCCGTGCCGAGAGACATGCGTCATGCGACTGCCACACTGCACTCGTACATACTTGTAAGTAGTGATTACGAGTCGATACTACGTCGTACAGTATACGGTAAAAGTTTTACCGTATACTGTACGACGCATGTCAGTAGCGTTCTATGTAGGTCAGTTGATATAAAGAAATATTGAATATGGCTTTTTCCTTGTAAAATTTCGAGGTAAGTTTGCGTTTTTTTTCTATTGTGAAAATTTTTACGAATCCTACAGTAATCCGTGTATATCCTCAATTCCACTATATATTTTATTTCAAAGTGATTGTCACGGAATCATCCAAATCAGTTTGAGACTGTCGAGTCTGGGATGGGAAAAACGCGGCTAAAATTGCGCTTCTTTTCATGACTAAATAGGTTGATGAGAAACGGCGATTCAGTGGGTTGATGAAATATTTACCTATTTTTGCCAAACGTAATTTGATCATTACTGCAACCCGGTGTGGGTAACACACATGTCAACTTTTTGTCACAGGGTGACGGGCGCAGTGGCAATGCCCTCTTTACTGCGCACTGCATCCGTTTGAAAACTGCAAGAAAACTCTGACCCACTTCATATGTTGCTTGTGGATTAATGGATCGTCATTTCTCGGATTCGGAACTTAGTGCGCAAAACCTCTAACTGCTATATATAGGCGTGTTGCCTACCACTAGGCGTACTCGTTCGTTCCATCACTTTGTATCATAAAAAACCTTACGCCTTTGGCAGTTTTCAATTAGTATTGAAAACTGCTAGAGGCGTAAGTTTTTTTGCTTTATTTGGCTCAAAGCCGTAGCCCGCCACTTCAAATCGGGTTTGGGACTTCACACGTTTTTATAGATTGTAATCCGTTGATATGCAGGTTTTTCTTCACTTTTTGCGAGGGGTATGTTTCTTGAACATTCACAATTTGTGTTTCGAACGGGTTAGGTGAAACCGTCGGCCTTTCTTTTACTGGGTTATCACCATCATTGAGCAGCTCAAGAATAATTTATTGTACTCTGTGCAATATTTCAGGTGCGAACCCACGTGAAGCGTGGACGCCACGAGTTAGCCGCAAGACTACTGCTACGTATCGCGGCAGACGTATCGTTTTTCCCTACACAGCAACGTAAGTTTTTTCTATCTCTTCCACGTTAAAAACCTTTAAGGCGAGGTATTAACTGCCGTAAAGGTTTTTAACTTTTTTTTAATTTAACTGCCTCCGTGGCCGAACGGTTACCATGCCGGACTGCCACGAAGAGGTCCCAGGTTCGATTCCCGGGCCGGGAGAAATATTTGTATGGCCTACATTTATTTCTCTCGTGAGTTTGGGTGTAATTTGTGGTTGTTTATGTGTGTGTCCATGGCACCCGCGACACAGGGTTTCCCTAGTGCGGGGGGTATGTTGAGTGTGTGCGTTATTATTATTGTTATTATTATTATTATTATTTGAACGTGAACCTAGATTTTAGGTGGTGAGGTGTGGGGGATCGTCCCTCACGTCCCGCAATCCGCGCGTTTAAAATTAGTATGAATAAAATAAAAACAGGCGGTGAAAATTTGTCACAGCTGACGTTCGATGACGACTGACTAGGCAACGGGTGGCGCGGCGTGTCGTTAAGCAGCTGAGGTAATTGTCAAGTTTTCGGATCAATATGAATTTGATAAGTATAGATAGAGTTTCAGGGGGCCTCACACAACCTCTTAAAACAATATTACTTTAACCTTACATTGACTTTTCGTACCATAACGCGCTTAAAGTAAGCTTATTTGTAATGTTAAAACTAAGATGTTTTATTGGCAGCTTTGTGACTATTCATTCACTCAGTTCGTACTATGGCGGGCTTTTGACATTAAAGTAATATTGCTCTTATGTCAAATTTAGCAATCTTAAAATAGTTACACGGTTGTAAAGGAAACAATATTATTTTCAGTTTTATTGTCTTAATATTGATTTGTAAAGATTAAAAGTTAAGTTGAACTGAAGTTAACTGAACTGAAGGGAAGTTAAATCCGGAAAAATAGTTTCATTTCCTATAAGTTGAACTGATTTATTTACATGTATCTCTTCAATATTTGGCTTATTTTTTATTTATATATATTATATATATTATTTCGTATAATTATTACAGCGCCATCTATATGCTCCTTGGCGAAACTGACAGTTGACACTAGATATAGTTCTGAATTCACAACGTGACTATCAAGACTCAGCTTATTTTATTTATTTGTCTTCATGAAAATGCGGAATAATTGTTGAAAACAACGTAATTTTAATAGATTTCATTATTACATACTTTTCTTTTTTTTGACAGTTAAAATTATCTGAATGTAAATAATATTAAGTACTTTAACATTATACTACGATAACACGATTCGGAACATCAAAAAAGAAAGAGATGGCATTATACAGTTCATATAGCGTTATTTCTTTTTTGTTTCATCGTTTTCGCGGCGATGATAGATGACAAAGATATGACAGCAAGGTATGACAACAGTTCATTACCAAATAAGCAAACTTAGCTTTATCAACTGATATAAATATTGTCACGGGGGAGGTTCGGTTTATCACACATATACTGCCATGCTACGCCCACAGATGTTTTCAAAGCTCAAGATTTATTTTGATGTAATTATTTCTAGACCAAGTGTCAATCCTGACGTCGACAGTGATAGAGTGCAGTCGTGCTGGTTTAAAGCACCAGGCTCATCATTGGGCCAAAATTCTCATGCAACCGGAGTATCGTGCTCAGGTAAATGTTTCTTTTAATATGAGTCTGATAATATCCTACTCTTATCGCGTCGACATATGGCCTGACGAGTAGGAACTTCCGATTTTCCTGATAGGTAAACTTATTTTTAAAGTATATGGACTTGGTCTTAATCACTATCTAGTTCTGGAGCAAAGTTGGGTCTGCGATGGAACGAGTTCGCCCAGAAGATGCCTATACCTAAAACATAATATTCGGGGTGTATGTGCCCAGAAACACTGTCGCAGGCAGGGAATTGCATTCCTGGGTTGTGCGTATAATAAAAGATGACGAAAAGCGCTTAATATGCCTGAAGGAAATATAAACCAAGTAGGAATGATGTCGCGCTGTACTTCGGGATGTCCGATGGTAAAAGGGTATGGTATATTATCACACACGAAATCAATTCAAGAAAAAAGACGCCATTTTGAAATCTTCGTAATTAATAACAATCTAATAAATTGATTGGCGATCTTATACGCACTGCTACGCGCACCATTCACCTGGTATTAGTAGGTTTTTTCTGGATAAGTATTATTCTGTTCAAAATTAGTGGCCCAAGTTCACTATTAACTAGGTTGTGTTCAAATGTGCTAAATTATATTGTAAATAGGGTTATTTACAATTGTGATTATTCTAACGGATGTAAAGCTAGGGACAACCCTAGTGTCCCTAGCTTTACATTGGTTGAAATAATCACGTGACAACATTGGGTCCGTATACGTTTCGCCGGCGCTACGTGGCCAATACGCCTCAAATTTTGAATCATTTTCCTAGATGACTTAGATGTTTTTTGAGATAAGCTGCTATTCTGGAAAACCGGAGCGAAATGGAGCTCTTCGGTTTCTACAGAACATAATCACCCAAGTATGTTCTGTAGAAATCTTACTTTTTACACCAGTATTGGTCTCTTTTAAATATAAGAAAATATTCCACCTCTAAGGGTGGCGAACTAGGGGATGAATTCGGCTTTGTGCACTTTCCAGTGACCAATTTCAATAAAACTTGGCAAATACATGTAATTCCACGAACTTTTGAGATCGATTTTTTGTCATAAAAAAGTTATATTCTTTTAGCTTTGATCTCCATTCGTTCTCTGTCAAACTTAGTTTAGAATAATGTTTTTAATTTAACGGTGTCGTCTGGGGCGGCTTAACAGATACATACTTGCATTGGGCCAGCATGACGTCCTTACAGGAGACTGGTGTCCAGTAGTAGGACGTGTAATGACTTGATGATGACGATGTCTAGATCGATCCAAAGTACGTGAAGAAGATCGAGTCGGTGGTGCGGCACGCTCCCCGCGCACCCCCGCCCCCGGAGGCGAGTGCGCCGTGCCCGCAGTGCGGCGGCGACCTGCCTGTGGCCGACCTGCGCTGTACCAGGTGTGAAGCCGACGTGCCCTTTTGCTTGGCCACGGTGAGTTGCGTTCATATTCATATCTTTATTGCATGCCACATAATTTCACAGAGATGTTATAAAAATATAATACAGTAGGCATACACGTTACAACCTTCAAGGGTGTCGCAAAATTAGGAGAGCACTACAAATTATTAATTACAAATATAAATATCACTACAAATTACTAAATTATTCCTATTTTCTTATAACATAAAATTAAATCATATTTATTTATTACGTAAAAGTTAATCTATTTAAGTACTAGGAAAATAGCACTTATCTTTTATTAAATATTTCATCTAACTTATGAAATGCGTTATTGATCAGGTACTTTTTTAGATGGGCAGTAATATCGTAATTTTTTGTTTTTAACCTCTGGATAAGTGTAAGGAATGTCGAAGAATGTTAGATTCTTAAAATGAACCATCTCCCATAAACATTTAGTGAATGAAATAAAAGTAACCTTCTTGAGTAATTCAACAAATATTTTAATATTTTATTTTTCTAAATAATAATTAGTAAACATTTAATTATAAAAATTTAAAATACTTACAGCCTTAATCAGTAACTACTATATTTTTTTAAACTCACAATTATATCGATATTGACAAAACGTTAGAAAACTAGTTTTATTACTTAAGGTAGCTACAGTCTATACATTTTTCATAAAAAGTAAATAAACCGGTTTGGTTAAAATTCTTAAATAATCATTCAATTAATGGAATACCTTACGCATTCATATTTGAAGATTTCAACTTGATATCTCACCACTTTTTCCAATGTAATTCATTTGAATAAAATGTTAAAATTTTATTTTAAAACATGTTATATAGGTAATCTTATATGCAAAACGAATTGAAACGAACTATAGTTTTCCAGGCTGCATTTTTACAAAACTATAAGGTAGTGCAGTGAATAGACATGTTACAAAAATAACAATAACATCACTCACACTTTACATTATTTTTGCCTAGCAATGATTTATAACTATAATATCTATTATTAAAAACTACACAATTACCACTTCAATACCGCAAAGGAATACCTTCAAAATCGATCACGCCTGTGACCAGCATAAATCTTTACCACGCATCGATTCCCACATTGACACCACAAGGTCCTTCTTCCTGGTCCTTATTTCACGAATTTGAGCAGTTGATTTTGTAGTGGCTAAGGGATCTTCAACATGGCGATTAATAATATCTAGGTGACGACTAGATGCAGAAGTAAACATTACCGGTGGTGGCCCCGGATTACGTTGCACATTTCCAGTTGCTCGTGGCGATTGATCCATAGCTTGACTGTGTTTCTCTGTGAACAAGCAATTTATAATACTGTATAATAGGCCCTCATAATTATTTCGAATTTCACCTAATGCTAGATTTATATATTTTTTAATTTTAATGATTCGTTAAACATGTTTTAGAACACCCGTGGGATAATGAAGGATGCATCTGCAGCACTGTGAAAAATATAATGAGTCTACTTACCGCTATATGAAGTCGCCTTGCAATTTGTTTGATTGGAATATCGTGTTCATACAGAACAATAATTTAATAATTCCGTTAAGTGCGGAATATTAAAACAAGAAAGGATACTTTGAAAGTAATTAAAACTGAATAGATAAATCGGAATGAAACGTGGAACAATGCGTAACCACAGAAGACACGATCGTATGCAAACTGCAGAGCGATTTCGTGATTTGTTAATCTATCCATACCCACCCTACACTTAATTAATAATATCTACCTACCCACCTTAGGCAACTTCTAGTGAGTAAATATTGTGATTTGTCAACATTGTGAAAACAATGCACAAACACGGGTATTGTAACTGGCAGTCCATACAACAAGCCGCTCGACCAATTTACTTGGATGTTAAATGACGAAATTTAGGATTGGTGGACCATCTTCAAGCAACACTCTACTGTATTGTTCATGCTATAAAGTTGAAATTGCTTTAATTTTTTTCTTTGTTAAATACGTAAGATGGCTCTCAGAACCAAAAGGTCGGTTCGGGCATGTTAGGGGGTCAGGTATCTCATGTATATGACTATACATACAATGACGTTTTGCATTCTACGTACTGCATCTACTTTTTGATTGAACTTTAACACTTATAATTTACGTACGTCTGCGCATTGTTATGTTGAAAGTTGAACTTGAAAGGGATTTGTTTCAGAACTGGAAATCTATTGTTATATTTGGATTTTACAGTGTGTTACACAACATTAATTTTTTTGACCGACTTCATAAAAGGAGGACGTTCTCAATTCGACTATGTTTTGTTGTATGTAGTTACATAATAACTCATTTGTGAAAGAAGTCCCATTTAAATTTAATGAAAATATTCCACCTGTAATTACTTGAGGTCAGTTTTTTTAGTGTTCTGTACTGAGATTATTATAATACTAAGTGACAGGACAAACAGGTCCTGTGCCTGGTGGTAAGCAACACCCCTGCCCATAACAGTGTTGCAGTGCCAATCAGAGCTTTGAATCCCAAAGATCTGAGGGGCACTGCCACTGCGCCCGTCACTCTGGGACATAAGTTGACAAGTCCCATGTGCCTGTAATTTCACCCGCACCCTTACCAAAACCAAAACGCAGTAACGCTCACATTACCGCGAAATAGGTAAGATGGTAATACTACCCTGGATGAACTTTTCCACAAGGAGCTCTACTGCGGGGAAAATTATGATCTATAGCAAACACAAAGAAAATTGTAAAACTTGCTGACTCGATCTGTAGCTCAGTTGGTAAGAGCAGTTGTCACGGTGAGACAGCATACACTGGTTCGAGTCCTGTCGGATCGAAGGATTTTTTTCTTTGTGTCTGTTCGACCTATTATATTAATAATAACTGCCTCCGTGGCCGAACGGTTTCCATGCTGGACAGCAACGCAGAGGTCCCGGGTTCGAATCCCGTGGCGGGAGAAATATTTGTATGGCGTACATTTATATTTATTTCTTTCATTGGGTGTAATTTGTGGTTGTCTATGTGGGCGTGCATGGCACCTGCGATACAGGGTTTCCCTAGTGTGTGCACGTTATTATTATAATAATAATAACAAACTAGTGGAGTATTTTCACAAAATAAATGTGTATGAATATCAAGGTGGTAAAAACAACTTTCAATAAGTTTACATTTTTTTCAGGGTTTACACATCGTGAAAGATGATCTAACAGCCTGTCCCGAATGCGACTTCCCGGCCATCATGACAGAATTCGTGGACGTACTGCAGGAAGAAGGAAAGTGCCCAATGTGTAACGAGAACGTTGATTACAGACGTTTGGTTAAGATTGACGATGTATCATTGTATTTAGAACATAATACTGGAGAATAGTACAGCAGTGACAACTTATCATGACTTATACAACTTGTAAATTAGAAGAATAAGGTATGCAGGTTATCTACGAAAGACAACCTGATGTCATAAGTTCCATAGAGAATACCATGTAACAAGGTTTTTGTTTCTGAGTTACCAATATAATTTTCTAATTGGTTCTAACATAATAAAAATTTTTTCGGATTTAAATCGCCGTGACCATGGGTCCGTTACTCCATTAAGGACCCTAAATGTAGCAGGTTGAGATTTATCGAGTTCTTGGATTTTCGCGATTATTATAAATTAGAAACTATTTTTTAGTTTCGTTTCAACTGTGCCCATGGGACTTGTAAAGGGCCCGAAACGTTTTGGTTTGTTTGAAAAACAAATATACACGATTTAAATACGGCAAAATAGTTACATTTCCTATGTGTTACAATCGCTAAATCTTTATTTCCTTGCAAAAACTTTGCTTTTTTTAGGAAACTTACTAATTTTCGGGTTTCTCTTTATTCAAATGGAAACATTAATTGTTTCAAATCAATTGTATATTGATGACAAAGAACTTAGAAATGTGTAGATTTGCGAGATTATGTAAATACTACACTACACTATGTAGCTATGTATAGTATGTATCATAATTAGAAGTCCAAAATGTAAACGAAGAAATGTCGTGAAATGTCATTGTCAAAGTGTAAATGCAGATGTGCTAAAACTTCTATTTTTAACGGAATTGGAAGAGGAGGAGATTCTCATTATCATTATATTCAATTACCTATTACAAAATATTAACAATAAACAAAAACTTAGCAACAACACACAATAATTTAACAACGCACTACGGATACAAAAAACATTCGGATTAGAGAAACGGAGCTCGAATGACATCTATCACATGACAAAATGGCAGCACAAAAATGTTTTTGATCCCGATTATGTTGTCAGTGTCATAAAACTATTTGCGACCTTAAACATAATCTTTTATTATAATTATTGTATAAAACGAAATTATGCGAAATTATATATTGCAAACCGTGAATTGTTCTAAGTTTTATTAGGTTACAGCTTGAAAATTCATCAAAAATAGGAGACTACTATTTTAAATGTATTTTTTGGCTCGGTTATCATTTTGTTTGTGTATGTTTACCTTTGTTTACGTTTTGAACATATAATTATGATTCATACTATAAGTACCAAGTACCATTATGACAGCAAAAAAGCAAAGTTTCAGGGGTATAACTACTTGCTTGTTGCTCAATTAGACGAAAACATTTATTACATAGTATAATTAGTAGAATCAGTGTGACCGAATGCCTTAGATCAGAGGTTCCTAAACTTTCTTGTCTCGTAAGCCACCCCCAGACCAGGGGGTCTGGGGGCCTTTCTATTATGGATTTTTTTTATAAATTCATCCACTTCAAATGTGTTTATGACAGCTAACAAAGTGCCACTCACTTCGATAAGTTTAACTATAGAGTGATAAACTTTAAAAAAACAAAAAAAAAGAATTACGTGTTAGGTTTATCAATATAATACATTTATCAATTGTGAAATGTTTATTTGCAAATGTAATTTATGTGTCTATTATAAGAAAGTATTATGTTAGTGTGCTACCAAGCTGTACTGTACACTTGCTCAAATATCGCCTCCAGAGCAACGAAACAAGATCCGTCAATGTGTAGCTTGATGTGCTGCCGTCTGTATATAGGTACACGCAATGACACAAGATATCTGACCCCCAAGCCGTCTTTGTAGATCTTTTGGTTCTGGATCCCGATTCAGAACTCTTCGATATTTTAACCGAATCATTCGATTGGAAATCGTTCTCGAATCGAAGGGCGCCTTCCGAGCTATTAAGAACATTCCGAGTTAAACGTTCGGTTCGGCCTCGGGTATTATCCAACAACGTTTACGGAGTTAGTCGGTGACATAGATAAGAAAAATGAAAATGAAAGAAGTAAAACGAAAAATGGAAATCAAATATACGTTTTTAAGACTTTAATGGCCTAAAATATAGGAATACATTAGTCTTGCATTAAAATAAACTAATAAAATTGAACAAAATCCAGACTTTATATAAAAACAATAGGACGTTCGGTAACTTTCATTCGATAACTGTGTTCTGAATAATGTTTGTAGCCCTTGTCGGTCGAGAAATTCGAGTAATCGTAGTGGTGCGATGTCATTTCGGTTTGGTTTCGAATCGACAATTTGACGTTCGATTCGGGTGTTGTGAATAAAAATGAAAAGAAATCAGTCGACAACTGAGTTATCGTAAGGTTCTGAATCGACCCCCTGAGCATATAAATAACACACACATTCATAGCCCCGCACAAGGGAAGCCTTATATCTCGGATGACATGGTTCACACACATAGACAACCACGAATTACACTCAAACTCACGCGACAAATAAATGTAGGCCATACAAATATTTCTCCGATCCAGGGAATCGAACCCGAGACCTCTGCGTGACCGTTCAGCATTGCCACCGTTCGGCCACGGAGGCAGTTTATATAGTTTATAAATGTGTTTCCAAAGTGTTAAACGTAATCTTTACCCTGTTAGCCGTAAAATTCATTTTAGTATGACTTCCTGATGGTGTCATTAGTGAATGACATTGTAAAAAAGTTTTTAAGCCAATTTGATCTTTAACGTATAGTTATTACAAATGCAGAATACGAAATTCAACATGCAATAGTAAGGCCGTCGTGGTTTAGCGGTTTAAGAATTGCTTTTCATGTTAAGGCGGAGCGTGGTTCGAGTCTCATAAAAAAAATAAAATATTATTTAGCTATGGTTATATAATATAAATATGTTTTTTTTTACCTCTGGATAGGTGTACGGAGTGTCTTTAGAATGTTAGATTCTCGATATGAACCACCACCATCAAACTTCGTGTGTGGGTAACGCAACAAATACTTTATTTTAATTTTTCTAAATTATAATTAGTAAACAACTTAAAACTACTTGTCAACGTTAACATTTAAAAAGTGCAACAATCCCGTTAAAAAAAATCATATTTAAAAAAAAGTTCGTGGAATTGAACAGGTCTAACGGTCAGGTATCTTGTGTGATAGTACACTATCCGTGCAGTGTGGATTATTATTATATTATGTGGAAAACAAGAATGCTCTGCCTTAATAGGATCTAATCTCGTGGACCACCATTAACGTCTGTACCTCCGATTTGTTTTCATTAACATGGACCTCTTGTAGGTTGAAGAACTGAGGGTCCATATAAATGGCTTTGAGAATCATCGTCTTTCTTAGATGATTTGCCGATGATGATTTTTTTTTATAATTATTGTCTCTGGTTTTTACGGTCGGTATCTAAATTCCTCTATAAGAAAATACTTAAGACCATTAATGTAACGTACGTGGGATTAGAATATTCCGAAAGTATTATTAACTATATAGAAATATCTAGAAACTTATAAAGATAAGCGATAAATTCGCTTCCAGGGGATTATGCGCACGTTCCCGCTGTTTATTATCTGCAAGGCCATCGATATCTTTACACTAATGCCTCTATGATAAGGCGAATGTAATCAACTTTATATGCGCAGGTAATTTCACAAACCACGCACATTTCATAGGGCATATTTTTTTTAAACTAGATAAGTGTTCTATAAAGGCCAGTATTTAAGCTATAAGCCACTTTTGTAAAATGTCACATCCTATACATTTTCGAAGCCAATTCCTGGACTTCAGAAATTGAAACACAGGATTGATTTCTCTATATTAATACAGGATTTGGCATTTTATATCGAATATCAGCCTAGACTCCGAAAAATGGCACAAACGAATCCGTCCATTAAAATATGAATATTTTTTCGCAATTGTGTAAGCAGAAGAAAATATATAATTGTAAATAAAATTCACGAAATAGTGGTGCATTCACCACCTGTGCCATTCTTAACGAATCTGTTCACAAAAATTTTAATATTTTTACAATTATGTAAGTTAGTACTTGCTATCATTGTACTTGTAGCATGAAATTAAATAATTTTAAATAAAATTCACGAAATATAGATGAACGTGGGGACATGGCACAAGAATGGCCTGTGCGATTCTTAACGAGTCCGTCCATAAATATTTAATATTTATGTGAGTTGTGTAAGTAAGTAGAACAAAATTAAATATATAAATAAAATTCACGAAATATTGATGAGTGTGGGGACATGGCATAAGAATCGCACAGAATCGTCTATACGGTTCTTAAAGAATCCGTCCGTAAAAATTTAATATTTATAGAAGTGTTTAAGTGAGTAGAAGGAAATTGAACGATTACAGATAAAATTCACGAAATATTGATGAATGTGGGGACATGACACAAGAATGGCCTGTGTGATTCTGAATCCGTCCGTCCATAAAAATGTTAATAGTTTTATAAATTGTGTAAGTTATTAAGGTAAAGGAAATTAAATAATTATAAAAATAAAATTCACAAAATAGTGATGAAACATTTAATTTTCCATTTTAAAGTATACCAAGTTGTAGTTACACGTTCGATACTGAGATTCAAATGAAACGCAAAACACAATTGTTGGTATTATACAAAATTAATTCCTACTGTGGTGTCATTAAGCTCATTTCTTACATTGAAATGAAAAGCCGTGTTGCTTTAATGCCACCACAACAGTACAATCTTTCACAAACCAAGACTGATTGATCAATTCCTGACAGTTAATTGGTCAATCAGACACTACTTTGGAAAACATTGTTTCCACTTTTCCTGTTAACTCTACAATCGATCAAATATTGCCCTAATATAATTACCACTACCTAGCTATGCCTTAAGTAGACAATAAATTTATACAACTTAAAATAATGACAAGACGATTATAACAGAATAATAATACAATTAATAATATAATAATAAGAAATTAATTGTGCTAATAATACATTGAAGGCTCTATGTTAACTCGCTACGCTGACTCGACCCTAGGTAATATTCTAGAATTTGTGGATTAACCAGTTAATACAGAATATTCGGGTCTTTGAAATAATATTTATTATTTTTCTGTTTTGTGCACTTTCTAGTCCTTATCACTTATAATATAGAGAATAGAGTTTCAATTACAACAACGATAGAGTACTGAACAAAGTTTTATTAAAAATTCGATCTAACGTTATTTGTAGAAATTATTTTATAATAATGTGAGTTTTTGAAGTTAAAGTTTTTGAAGTTTTTGAAGTCCGCGTTAGGTGTACCAAAGGAGCCTCTCTGCTACGACGTACCATTCCTTTTTTGTACGTCTAGCGCACCCCGGGCAACCATCGGCGGTTTCCTTACGCCGAATAGCAAATCCTTTCACCACTGGCAAGCATTATGGTATAAATGCCATCGATACGATAAGAACATTCTGTACTAACCAGTCATCCTAAATCTAACTATCAATAATGTAGGTTAAACATCACTCGTTAACGCTACGCAGTCGATCAACTGTGCTAGTTGTTTACCTATCAGAATACAAACTTAACGCCTTTGAAATAAGGTTTAAAAATAGCTGCAACTTGAATAAAATTAGGCCCATCTTGGCAGTGTTTATTCTAACCTAAGTTTTTAAAGGTTAAAATAACTTTATTGACAGTTTTCGAAAACAACTTGTAAAAAGAAAGGACAAGAATTGAAAGTGTTAGTTATGAAAGTCTTTTTACATGACGTTAGAAGGAACACGAAGGAGCTTTACACAGCAAGTGCAGTGGGGCACCATTCAAACGGTTCTATTCAAACAATTTTGTATGAAGTCAAAGATAACCAAAAAAAAGCTCGTGTGAGGCAATAATTAATTACTTATGAGAGAACCGTGCATTGATTTTTTCCTATTACTTTCTATCTAATGTGGTCAAAGATGATTTTGACCGAACAAGCTCGTATTTGAACGGAAAATAATATTGTCACTCAAAAAACTGTCAATAAAGAGCCCTAACGTCTACGATATAACATCGTAATCAATTTGACAAGTATATAAGGGGCCAATACGTAGAGAACAGTTTTAAATACAATAATACAATGATATATGAACATAATAAGTATTGGTGTTACATTTCCTTACTTCGCTTTAAGTATATATCTAAAAGATGCACGGATGCCTTCGATTAAAGTCTTTCCAACGTGATAATGTCCTGTTGACGTTTATTAAGTAAAAAGATTTACTAAATGGCATAAAACTAACTGCATTTGTCTCAAATTCGAAATTGATAGTAGTGACGAAAGCATGACTCCATCACTCGCTCGAGGTTACGCGATAGTGTCTACTGGTGAGTGTATCGATGACAGTGCAAGCGCACAGACAAGTCTTTCATTTCCATTACAATCCTTCCCACACCCCAGTACAGTACAGTACATCCCCAGCATTCGGTTCCGCACGACTGCACACGGCGGGAAACGTTATTTTCATCTCTCCGAACATGTGCTTAGGTTCCTTTTACCTCGTAGTGAGCGCCTGGTTTCATTAGCCAGATTTAGTAGACTATTATAGCGTTGGTATTTTCGATTATGTATGAGTGATGTATCTGTTACGTAGCAATTATTAAGTAGTCTGTGACGAAAGTTTAAGAAAACGAGAAGTTACAGCCACAGGAAAATATCAATATGGATAGACTGTAGTATAAAAATGTACAATTCAATGGAACGGATGACCATACTAATGCGTCGAGCAATAATAAGCGCTAGTATTGAGAACACATTCGCGACGTGCAGGCCGCTAATATAACATTTAAGTGGCGTCAAAAGAATGGACTAGTCGCGTAATTACTATGGACGAATTTAAAATTAAATATTCGATTCATAGAACACATTTTATATAATAATCATTAATCCATAGTCAAATAAATATTGTGTTTCTCCTTTCAAATATAATTAATTATTTTGTAAATAATATTCATGTTGGCCGGATGCATTTTTGTAAACGTTCCTAGTCCACTCTTTTAACCTATCAAATAGCTCTTGTAAAATATTTACAGATACATATAAAAATATTTTAAAAATCATAGACACGATGGCACTTGGTTGCGTTGTAAGAGGGTAGGATTGCATACAAAAGAATCGGCTATAAATTATATCTATACACACGGATAATAAAAACATAAATTTGACACTTCGGAGACCACATTTTACACGAATTCATAGTAATAACAATAAAACAAATTCAATTATATTATAAAAATCGATTCTGAAACATATTATACTACATAGTTAATAAGGGAATGTATAAAAATTAGTTTCAACTATAGTTTACTCATCAACAATAAATACTATAAATCTTTGGTTTCATTTAGTCGTTTGATTACAAAAAGTTTCGCTTATTTTACTATTCATTTTGCCAAAAGAACGCGTGTTTAATTACAACGTGTTATGCCTACGACAGTGTTCAAAACGTGAAGTTATTTATAAATTATGGTTCATAAGATGTGACACCAATCAAACGCAGCTCACAAATAGCTCCAGTGCAATATACGACATAAGAAAAACCGTGAAAAACCCGAGAAATACAAATCGGTGTGACGAGAAAAACTCTATCAAACTTATTTGGCACTATAAAAGACTCAATGTGAGCTCGATTTGAAGGTTATCTACTTCCAGTGGTAAGTAAGTACTACCTATCAGTTCTAAGACCGCGCTATAATACCTGTAAGATCCGCTCAAGAGCTAAACGTATCTAGCGAAGGGTTTTTCAAGGTGTTCGGCCCAAGAGTCTAGTTCTCTCGAAACTTGTTTGACAGGGCTGGCAGTCGCTTTTCACTGCAGGTGCGCGAGCTGCTTCGGTAGAGCGGCGACGACACGCACGCGGTCGCTGAACTGCGGCGGCGGGGCCAGTACCGGCGCGCTGGGGTCTGCGGCGCCGGCCGGCTCCTCGGGCGGGGGCGGCAATTCCGCTAGCAACACCGCAGCTCTAGCTTTCCGGCCTGGCGCTTTGTCTATGTCCACGCCCAGCCGTTCCGCAGCCGATTTGCCTCGAGCGGCGCCTATAGTTCCCCTGAGCAAGGCTGCTGTAGCTCTCTTGCGAGTGAGGGAGTTGTGTCTCTGCATGGGCGGCGGCGGAGTCGCCAGGCTCTCCGATGAACTGTGCACCGGTTCCGTGCTGATGACGTCGTTGGAGGATTTGACAGTGACGGAGCTGCAGAACGAGACCTTATCGCGTCGCGGCTGCGGTTTGGCCTGGGCCTCCTGGTCTGAGGACACTCCGGAGGAAGAATTGTCGCCGTCGTCTCTTTCTACAGTACCAAGTTCATCCCCACAAGACTTGGACGACTTCAGTCGAGTCCGTATCTTCTGTATTTCATCGACCGAAAACGAGTGCTGCATTGAACTCGAGCCTGAACTGCTGCCACTGAAACATTGTAAAACATTGTTAATGATGCAAGAAATTAATGTTGATCGTATGCTGAAACTTCATAAAGTAAATTTCTGATTGCACAAAAGCCAATTAATTAGTAGGTACACGAAATTTGAAAAAAAAAGACATGTATGAATTATGTAAGTTACAAATATAAAACTAAATTAAAGGAACACATACGAACAAGTAGAAATATTTGTTTTCGTGAGATGATTATCTACATAACAAATGTGACTTGTTTCTCATAAAGAGAAATACATTTTATTCAACAATGTTTTGACATGTAAATTATCAAATAAATAACAAGACGATTACAAAAAGCAGACCCCCAGCGACACAAATTGTTGAAATAAAAATTATACCTTAAAATTACTATTCATGAAACCAAAATATAATTTATAGAGAAATCCCGTCATCCCCTTGGTCATTTTCATAAATTGTTGCGTAAATTGGTATCCTGAAAATCGAAATTGTTTGTTAGGATACAGACGGATAATTGTCAAGTTAGGAGAGAACATTTGAATTATATTTTATTATTTCGGCTTAAAATCAGGTGATATTCTTTTAACCCGAATCAAAAATTAGCTACAACAATTATTATTCAATTTTAAGTTTATTTCTCGATCAAGACCTTTTCAAAAATATTTCATAGGATATTTACTCATAAACTTGATTGGTGTGTTGCATATAAAGTAGCAATGGGAGAGTCGACTTTTAATTGAACTTGATTCATTCGAGTTACTCCCACAACTAGCGAACTTGAGTTACTTTTTTAAGAACTCGAGGAGCTCGGTTTGGTACCCGCCCCGCCGAGCTGAACACTTCAATCGGCTACTCGTTCTCTCTCGGTCGGTCCGATGACTTTCGGAGCACGCTCGAGTCACGAGCGATATGGACGAGTCGAGTTATTTAACTCGAGTTACTCCCATAACGAGTCAACTTTAGCTACTCTTTGTGAAGTCTAGATGAACTTCATTCATACAGCGCATCGGCTATTCGTTCTCACTCGGTCACACACACAGCACACTCGAATCGCGGTCGGCTGGCCGATCGTGCCCAACTCCATGAATCGTCGATTCGAGTTCTACTCGCGACTCGCGGTTGCTCTATCAGACACCGAGTCGAGATAACTGCAACTCGAGTTAGCAGTCACGTCAACTCGAGTAACTCGAGTCGAAAAAAAATACGGCTCGTCCCATCGCTAATACGAAGCAGCGTGGCGCCAAGAAATATTAATGATCAAATTGTGGCTTACGAAAGTGTTAATTTAAAAAATTAAATTTACCTAGCATTGCTATTAGCGCTTGTCTCTGCAGGCGGCGCGGGCTCACTCTTAGGTTTCACGGAATTTTCGTCGTCCGACTCCGACATGCTGTAGTCCGGCTCTGGAATCGGCGGCGCTGGCGTTGAGTTCTGCAATTTAAAATATAGGTTTTATTAAACACTTGTTAATCGTGTTGTAACATTAAACGACGCTAACTAAACACGTTACATAAAACAAAAGCGCTTGTCCAGTGTTCGATGTTGGAAATTTAAAGCCACTCTATACGAACGAGTTATTACGTATTTCCTCTCATAAACGAGTACCTGTCTAACAAAGCCCTTGTGCGTGTTGAAGGGCTGCGCGTACTGGTTGGCCGGCTCGTCGGCGCTCTGCGGCCGAGTTGGACCCGCCCACGATCGCAGCGACGACGACTTGCGGACCTGCGTTCGCAATGGTCAACATTCTCTGTTAACTTGTCATTAATAATCCTCACTTAATAAATTGGCGGACCATCGGAACTGATTATCTAGACCAGTGGCAAAATACGGCCCGCGACGCGTTTTAATCCAGCCCGCCAACGTTCCCTTCTTAAGGAGTATGGTCCTCGGAAATATATTTTAACAGCCTCGTCCATATTGACACATGATAAATGTGTATGTTAACATACACACAAATAATTATTTTTTAACGCACACACTCATAGCCCCGCACTAGGGAAACCCTGTATCGCGTGTGCCATGAATGCACACATAGACAATAACAAATTACACCCGAAGTCACGAAAGAAATAAATGTAGGTTATACATATATTTCTCCTGGCCCGGGAATCGAACCTGTGACTAATATAAAAAGTTTGACAATTGGATTGGTTAGAGTTATTCATTTGCAATTGACCATCCACTCATTCATGTATGGGCTAGTTAGAATTATTCGTTTGCAATTGAACATCCACTCATTCGTATACGGGCTTAGTTAAGAAGACGCAATCTGTGTAAATGCGCAATGGTGGCAAAGGCCTTTGAAACATTAATGAATTCATAGTACTAATCTGTCCAGTGATGATAAATAAACCCGTATCTGTGTAGTAGCTTACAAACAAGTGATACTTACTGTGTGGTTAGATTCAGTTCTCGCTGGCCTGTAAGCGACGGGGCCAAGGTCTCGGGGCGATGCGTACAGCTTGGCCTGGTCGGCGGGGCGGAATGTGGATGCAGGGGCGGCAGGAGGCGGCGGGGGTGGGTGGGCCGGCGGGGGTACGCGCCCTGTGCACAAGAATAATCATGTAGACACATTCACTAATCACCTCGAGCACTTTTGGAACTCGGCCCTATTTTTGCGTGTATAAGAAACGACAAAATACCTTGAACATCTTCGCTAGATCGCGTTCGAGGTGGATGCGAGAGTTGTTCAGCGGCAAGGTCAGGCGTGGAGTGGAAATCCCGTCGGAGACTGCCCGTGGATTTCGACCAGAACTGAAGTTAAAGATAATGCGTATCAATTGAGTTGGACCGGCTTCAACGTACAGAATTCCATCAGTTACGTAAATTTAGTAATGAGATCTGAGCATTTGCTTCAATTGAGGTAAACTGATAATACAATGTTACAACTGATGAGTTCAAAGCTAAAGAAACAGATTAGTATTCCTTCCTTTCAGTGTGTCGCGTATCACAGGATATACATTACTATCAATGAAAGATAGCGGCTAGCAATAACTTTAGCAGAATAATACGGCTAAGATTATGCGCACACAATTATGTTTTACGAAAATTATTGTGTTAGAAAGTTTCATAAAGTTAATCGGTACCTTTCCCTTAGACCGCTTCATCTCTGCGACTGAGGCGTACACGCGCCCCGGCGTCCTTGCCGGTGAATAGGGGGGTGAATTTGACCCGCCTTGGAATGCCGACCGAGTCATCATTGCGTTGCCACTGCAAAACAGTACACCGTATGTATATAATAGGGCTTCTTTTGAAACAATATAATAAGGATTTTTCTCCTGTATTCTGAATTATTTGTGGTTTCGCCAAAAAGCTTCCTGCGTCTGCTTCAACTACACCGTTCGGGATGCCTATTAACAGGAAACCTTAGATGTGGTTGATACTCTCATTCATTTCAATAAAAAATCCAGCGTAACTTTATTGAGATGTCGTTGAATATCACCAACTGCACACAATGCTTTTGGTGCCGACTATTCATAATGAAGGGGAAGAAAACTTACGCATTATCAGCGTCAGCTTGTCTCTGGAAGAGCTCCTCTAGCTCAGCAGCCGTGATGCGCCCTGACGCGGGTCTCTGCCGGATTGACGCCGTGCGAGGGGCGACCGGAGTTCCACCTGAGGGGGTGCCACCTGGAAGCACAAACAAGGGATGACCCACGTTAAACTCACGTTTGGCTCGTAAAGAAATAAAGAAGTCGCATAACTATTAACTTCTGACATTAATGTTCACAATAAACTGAATTTTAACGTGTCTTTTCAATTATAGAATTCAAATAACATGTCAAAACAGCTTATCACATAATATAAATACATGTCTTTGCCTGATACGTATTTAAATAGGGTGCATGAAAGGCGTTTGCCCGCGCGACGTACCAATTTTTTTATAATACTTGGTATTCCAGACGGGACGATCAAGTCGTGCGCCTGGTGGTAAGCTACTCGCCTATCCATAGCAGTTGCAGTGCCATTCAGAGCTTTAAATCGCAAATTTCTTACGGGCACTGCCACTGCGCCTGAGACATAAGTTGACAAGTCCCATGTGCCTGTAATTTAACCAGCACCCTTACCCTTCAAAACCAGAAACTGCTTGGCGGCAGAAATGGATAAGGTGGCAGTAGGTACTTCCCTGGACGAACTCTTTCACAAGGAGCTCTAATGCTATTAAATCGCATCGCACTGCATTCCCCTGTACGTCTGGCGTACCCTGACCAACAATCTGGGAGTACCTTACGGCGATTGGTATATCCTTCCACCACGATGGCGAGCTTTACAGGTGTATGCCATCGATACTATAAGAGGATTTAAACTATAGTTTCTGGGTAAAAACGCATTTGTTGATTTACTTTTACTTATAAAAACAAATAACTCACTATTGCTTCCACTGTGTAGTTGTACAGACTCTGCGGATGAGGACTTGCCAGCTACGCTCAGAGGCTCACAGCTTTCTTCTTTTTCACCACCGTTTTCTGTAACAAAAACGTTACTTTTTTATAGTCAATATTAATTACAAAGGACCTACCGTGTAAAGTTGACCAAAAATATGGACCTGTTTATAAAATACACACATCAAAAAAAGTTTGCGATCAATAGCATAAGCTCCTATAATTCTTTAAATTTAACTTTATCAAGAAAAAATCTATGTTGTATGCTTTCTTTAAATAGGAATACCCTGTTTGAAATTAAAATATAAAACTATTTTTTATTATTTATTTTAAAAAATTGAGCCATTAATCATAATGTAATAGTGATAGAAATTTCATAGAAAGAAAAAGACTGTTTAATTAAACTTAAACAACAATTTATTATTAAAAGGTGTGAATTCAATATAAAATAACTCCTCCCCTGGCTCGAATACATGCGAAGATCCTCCTGGGCATGCTGAGGATCAAGTTATCCAGCATTTCCTGGGGTAACCTATCCCATTCTTCAATAGCGGCTTCCCTGAGCTCTGGAACTGTCTGGGGACGTGGCTCACGGTTCCATACTGCTCGTTTAAGAGCATCCCACGCGTGCTCTATTGGGTTTAAGTCGGGCGAGCCGGCAGGCCAGTCTAATCGTGTGATATCGTATTCTTGAAGAGCAGCATTGACTCGTTGAGCTCGATGTGCGGGCGCATTATCATCGACCAGTACAAATTGGTGCCCATGGTTTACTCGGAATGGTCTGACGATATCATCAATAGCAACTGCTTTGTACATGTCTGCTGTCATGAAGCCCCGATACGGGATTAAAGGCGTTCTAGCTCCAATCATAATGCCACCCCAAAAGGATACCGATTTTCCGCCTTGCTGAACTGTTCCAGTGGCAGTTCTTTTTCTTTCACGGTCGCCTGGTCTTCTCCAGACACGGACACGTCGGTTATCTGGATGAGTGCTGATTCGGGATTCGTCAACGAAGAGACAGTTTTGCCAAATGTTTTCGTCCTCACCTTCTTCATTTTGCCGAAGTCTAGCCCACTGCAATCTTCGTTGTTGACGTTGCCGGGAATTGAGCGGAGCTCGCCAAGACCTCCGTGCTCGTATCCAGCCTGGTGCAAGCAATTGCGAACGGTCTGCGTGCTAACTTCAAGCCCAGAGGCGGCCCTGACTTCTGCTTTTATTTTAGTGGCGTTGATTGTTGGATCACGGGCTGCCAGCAATCTAATATAGCGCTTTTGGGCAGCTGTCAAAACAGTTGGGCGACCGCTGCGGGGTCGGTCAGCTAAATTCCCCATTCCGTGATACCTCTGCAACGTAGCCACGACACAGGATTGGGATATAGCAAGTCTGCGTGCTATTACTCTCGTGGTGTATCCTTCTTCCCTCAAAGTTACTATTCTAGCTCGTAAAACCTCTGATAATCCTCTTGGCATTTTTTCAATCACAACTTTCCGCGAAAAATATCTTGAATCGCTTATAATTGACTAAATCAGATTTCTGAATGAGCGTAAGCTAGGACTTAAAGCCTTTTTATATGAAAAAACAATTGAACGGGGTCATTTTTTTATGTTCTAATTTATTTTTAAATAAAGAATCTAAAAAGAAGAAAAAATCATAATATAATCTACAGTAACAAAAAAGATTTCAGTTTTTCGAAGTGATCGCAAACTTTTTTTGATGTGTGTATGTGTACTGTATATATTATACTTTCAGATTGCTCAAAGTATTTACAAATTACACAAAAAACGTTAGTGAATTTAAGGTGCATTTCGCAATGGTTTTAATCTTTAAATTCATTTTAGATAATTGATGTATTGTTCTGGTTTTTGTCAACTTGAGTTGGTGAAGATAGTTAGGAGTACCTGATGATATTTGATATTTTGTTATCAGTTTGATAATAATCCCTAATGCTGCATATCTTCATCTTCTTCGACTCAATGACAAAAATCAATAAAATAACATCGTGTTAAATTTCTTTGGTCCAGTAAATAGCTACTTCTATATTATTATGCCTTTAGCAGGTCTTAGGTGGGTCATATTAATTTATACACGGAAATAATAGACGTAATCTATTGGAGTGAAATTCATCTGCTGGCGTGATAAATTATGAATTCCTCTTGTTTTTTTGACGATTATTCGATGTAGGTAAAGCACCTTGCATAAAGCATAAGGAATGGATAGACTTACCCAAACCAGCGACCATTGACTTGGCACGAGCTCTGCCGACGCTAAGCGTAGTGCGAGGATCTCGTCGCGGCGGAGCAGGGGCAGGGCTGCGACCTGGTAAACATAAATATTGATCAGGTAAGTTAAAATACACAAAATTTTCCGATGGCGAACAGAAGCTAGAATACAGTATATGATGGCCTCACATTACGTTTACCGATTTTAAAGTTTTGCTATCTATCGGATGTGTGCCATCCAGGACTACGTTCTAGGTGCTACTCGCGCATTGTGGCATTTGAGAAAGACTAAAATGCAATATTAGTTATCTTTCAGCTGAAGATGATGGTTACCCATATGTATAGCAGAAGTATAATCGGTAAGAGAAGAGAGTTGGGTCGTTGGTAACGATCCGTCAATAATAACTCTCAGGAGCAAGCAACTCGGAAAAAATGAAACGCACCGCCAGCACCTTTCCTGGGGAGCGTGGCCGCATAGGGCCGACCCGAGTTGGAGAGCTGGTTTTGGGACTTGCTCGTCGGCACCGTACACATGTTGTTCTCGTTGTTTCCTAAGCAAACAGCAGTTAAAACATTATAGAATTGTTGCGATTAAATCTTGCAACGATCACGTTAACACAATTACGCAATGCATAACACTCGAGACATAGAGTCTGGACGATTTAATGTCAATGGAAATTGATCATCGATCCAGAAATTGCCAGTATCTCATATATTGTATTTAACACAACATTGAAATTGAATTAAAACCGAAGCGAGTTTTCAGGAATCCGTTCCAAACAATAGCGCGTTATGACTCCTATGCTGTTTTTTTGAGAATTGAAACCATTAGCCAAAACCCCTAACGTTATTGGTGAAAAAAATACAAGTAGTACCTTAATAATAAAACATAGCAGGGAAAGAGCCTTCCAAAGTTGCCATAATTTGATTATGTGATAAAGAATTTACTTACCATTCACACTGTTCAACGAGACAACAGTCATGGAGACGAGTGCCCCGGAGTTCCTGATCAGCTCCACTACACGTTCATGTGATGCTGCTGATACATCTTCACCGTTGATCTGAAATAAATTTGTATTGAAATTTATAGCATCTGTAAGAACAGGAAACTTACAGCTTCAAACTAGAAAGCTGCTTAAAATGGCCCAACAGATGATCTCTGTAGTACAAAAATTATAACTGATTGGGGAGAATGGGAAGCAACGACACTATGCGGCTGCATTTCAATAAATGTACCGCTAGACTTAATTCTTTGAAACTCGCAATATTCCGAGAGTCGCAATTAACCAACTTATCAGATTAATGTTTTTATTTAATGACAGGTTAGGCATGTCAGAGAGTGAGCTTTGGCCCATTGAAGTAAAGTGCAGTAGGCTTTTGTGACATGGAAAAAATACACGAAATCAGAATGACCAGTTTGTAGTGAGATTAAACATTATTATACTGTATTAAAGTGGTGATGTAAGACTGTGCACTATTTTGGAAGTTAATGCATTTAAATAACGGTAATCTGCAATAAGAGCGCAATTAAAGTACTGGAGAAATCGTTTTATTTATATGATGTATCCAGTATCATTTTATTTTATATATTTAGTTTTATGTTATTAATATTTTTGTTGTTTCTGGTACATTTTTCAGTTGCTTTAAGCAACTTACAGATTTTTTCGAAATCGGTTTGAATTTGAGCAGTACGGCCATGACGACACCATACATAGGACGGATCCACACGTACGATTAGTTCAACAAGTTTTTCTAAAATGAAATCTGTGTACCTGTTAGTAACGGAAACAATTCATTTGTTTGTTTACAATCGTTTTTGTTGACAGAGTAATGTGTTCACTTATTTCGGAAATGATAACATCAAGATCCAAAAACGCCTTATTGTGCTGTTTTGAAGTGCAAAAAAGATAGCTGCACCAAAAACGTTACCCCTTGTTATATATCATCGAAAAGTCTTATTTAAAAAAAAAAATTACAAGACACGAAAGTAACGCTCATACCCCTCCAATATATGGTCGCTTCTTTTTTAGAGAACTAAATTAATAACTCCAATCCGTCTTCGTTCAGCAATTAACCGTTAGATGGCTTGATTGAAATTTCAATATAATATCAAAATGTCGTAACTTGCAATACTAATGATGGTGTTGAACTTTCAAATGCCAATAGGGTAAAGTTTAAATTATACTAACAATCCAGAATTTATTTCTTTTTAAATTTAAAACTACGACCATTGACTTTGACTACGACCAATCAACATCAATATTTTGTAGTGTTTCAAATTAATAATGTGTGAGTTTTGGCGATATCGGTTCTGGTAGTAATCGAGGCTTAAGGCACTTCTTCCATTGTTTTTTTCTTCCGTGCCATATTCCCTGTGTCCGCACGTGAAACTGAAGCGAACCGTTTTTGTTTTTGTTATTGGTGTATTAAGTTTATTACGATGATTTACTACCATAATATTTAATTATTTTATGTGAAATGACTTAACGAGCTTGTTTCAATTATTAATAGGAAGTTCGACAAAGAAAAATTCCTTCGATCCGGATGTCAAAGTCAAAGTCAAAGTCAAAGATTATTTATTCCATAGGTAAAATAAATTTACACTTGAAAACGTCACATTTAAGCTACTGCTCGTTCACTACGCTGACCTCCCTGAGAAGAACGAGCAAGAAACTCTAGGGATTGCTCTTTTCAAATAAACTTAAATGCTATGGAATACACTTTGAATCAAATTTGTGTGGATTCTGGAGCCATGTCGTCTTTCCATACATCTTTATCTTACACGTAGTCTTCAATTTTGTAATATGATTTTTCGATCAAAATATTTTTAATGTAGTTTTTAAACTTAGGAAATGATAAACTTAATATATGCTCCGGAAATGGACTAGACCTCACAAATTTATCTATGTGCTTGTTGATCTTCGTTTTTGCTTTTAACGACTTTTTGCCGTAGCGCCATCTATGAGAAATCTATGAAATTTATTATTGGTGTTTTATTCATTAAACACCGGTTTCCACGCATTGGACAGTTCATAATTGTCACGATTGAACTTAACGTATCACTTTATGATCTCGACATTAGTTTCTTGTGTCATATATAGTGTGTAAGTAACTAGGTACCTGTTTAATATTATTGTGTGGTGTGGTATTGTGTTTTTACAGCTGGAATTTTTCTTTCGTACAGTCGATAATTAAAGAGTCCAAGGAAAGAGTGTTCAAAGTTCGGTGAGGAGAATTTAGGAGAAAAGAATTTTAATTTGGAAAATTTTTAAATATTGGTGAAAAAGACATACAAATACTATCCGCAATAAAAGCAATACTGACTAATTGTATGTAGAGCTACGTAATCTATTTTAACTAAAAAACCTTTATAAATAATTTTTAACTTTTCTGCCATTTGCTCGCAAACATTTTTAATAACTAAAAGTTAAAAAGCTCATTTTTCACAACATTTTTACAACTTTTGATTTAGGCAAAATACGCTCTGCGTCTACCGAACTGGTTGGCGGTATCAACTCAAAACGTGTTTTAAGTAACTTTGATAATTCTTTCCCTGGTCTCTTCAATTATTTGCTTGGTTTGATCGAGTTTCGTTTGCGAAAATTCTGTATAGAAATTCCCTTTCTTGCAGTAAAGACTTGACTATCCGAAGAAATAAAACTTAAAACGACGAGAATCTAAGTTGTTTTTCTAATCATTTTGGGTATACCTGTATGAATATTTCGTGGTGACTGGGAAACAACGCAAGGTACCTAAGTTTTGAAAATAAGATTCAAATTTGTTCTGGATTATTTTGTACCTTTTCCCGTTTTGAACTCGCTTGTTTTAATTTTGTTCCTTGGTGACATAGTACTTACGTCGGGAACAACTCGCTTCTGCCGAGATGCAAACTACTTGGACTTAAGGCTTGAACTTCAAGTCAATTATATTATAACTACCTCGGTGGCCGAACGGTAACCATTCTGGTCTGCCACACAAAGTTCTGGGTTCGATTCCCGGGATGAGAGAAACATTTGTATGGCCTACATTTATTTATCTAGTGAGTTTGGACGTAATTTGTGGTTGTCTATGTGTGTGTCCATGGCACCCGCGATACAGGGTTTCCCTAGTGTGAGGTTATGAGTGTGTGCGTTATTGATATTATTCTTTATTTTTCTCAGTCTGTTGGCTGGCTTGAACTTCACTTACTTATTATTATTATTAATTAAAACCCGGTATTTGTACTATCTGTATCACGCGTGATAAAAAAGTATATGAAAACTTGCTATTCCAATAAGTCACATGAGGACCAAGAACAGTTTGGCCAATAGTACCTAATATGATACATACAGCAATAGTCACTTACCGCAACAAGAAAATCTCCTTTCTTCAATCCAGCTCTATCAGCCACTCCGCCAGCGTCCACATCGTCCAGATACTGCAAACCTGGACAGCGTTCTGAGGGACGTAACTCCATGAGCGGAGACGAGGCCTTGGCACCTCTTAACACGAAGCCGAAACCGCGGCGGGCGCGGTGGAGGATCACTGTACGCGTTTCCATGTTTCCATAGCTTGAGAATAAAAAATAAATAAATTAAATTAGACACTGACTACTTTTATTTTATTTTCAATATTTTTGGAAAACTTAAAGCTAGGTAACAAGAATAGACTAAAGTATAATACACGCCTGACTGGCCAGTGCCTGTATGCTGAGGGCTAATTAAAAGTTTCCACAAATAATTATTTACAGTGATAGAAACAAACTACAAAGTAGTTGCCGACTTAAAGAAAAAAACATAATAAATAAAAATAACGAAATTAAAAACGTTAAACAGATTGGGTAAAACATCTATATCTATGGGTAAAACAAGTGTCTTAAAACATAAAATACTTTCAAAATTTCCTTGTGTGAGAGTTCGTACAGGAGATATAGAGCTCTACTGCTAGTAAAAGTGGTGTTGTAGTGGGTATATCTTTTACTTAAGTTCACAAACTTTTTGGCTCACCACCCACTTAGGCAAGATAATTTTAACGCCCATCACCACGAAAATAAGTGAAAACACGTATTTTTTAAATTAACTTAACAAAAACAAATCACGAGAAAAAAAGATTGTAGTGTAGTTCACAAAGATTTTCAGTTTTTTTTTCAAATGTGCTAGCACCCCCTAGTAGCATCAAGGCCTCCCAATTGCTTCCGAAGCCCCTACGATTCTTCAGCGCCCACTGGGTAGGGACCACTTTGCGAAACTATGGTCTATGTAACAAGTCTGTCACATATTATATACCACAATAACAACACAATATTAACATATTTTATGTAATCGGAAAAAAAGTAAACTACATACTGCAAATTTTTCGAACCTTTTTAAGTACGCCAGTATGTTTGATTTCCATTTTGGATAAATAACCCTTAACTCGTCACTTAGAATGAAGTACTCTAACATTATAGGTCAAAACCTGAACTCAAACTGGACCGCTATAGCTACTGATATATCAAAACTGTAACTAATTTTCCATCAATCGAAGTTTTGAATATACAGTTTGTAAATAATGAAATTGTTATATTGTTTTCTTTGGGCTTCAATGCAAGAGTATCCTGTTCATAAACAAAATAGAGGCAAGAATTCGACCGAATGTATAACCTCATAAAATTCACTGAGTAACAAATTTTATTATTTAATTAGTAAGACGAGGTCCCGGGTCGATTCCCGGTGGTCTAAGTGTTCTAGGAAGTACCCCAGATTGAGTTCCGTTGATCTACTATGTAACATGTTTTCCAAAAGGTTCTGTTTGTGGTTTGACAGTACTGGTTTATTATTGACTTTTATAATTTGACGATTTTGTATCGCTGTGAGATTCATATAGTTTAACCAAATAACTCCACTAGTTTGTTATGATTATTATGATGTATGAGTACGATTAATACACCACGTGATCAAGTCCTGTCCGGTCGATCTTCGTATTTCGATCAAATAGTGGTAGCTGTAAAGTTACCGGCCGAGTGAGAATATTGTAAATCTCTCACGAGGTGTCACCTACGGCGTTGAAAACCGAAAAAAACCAGTACAACAAGACACAGAAGACTTTCGTCAACCTGCTAACTTAACTACTTGGTAAGAGCAGCGCTTCGGTACAGCGTGGTCATAGGTTCAAGTCCTGTAGAGTCAGAGAAATTTTTCTTTGTGTTTGGTCTTAGTATTGGTTACTGTTTAATTGAGCAGCAAGTAAGTAGAAAAGAGTAGCTATACCCCTGAAATTTTGCTTTTGTGGCTGTCAGTGGTATTTATATCATCTCGGAAATCTAAACTTTAGAATAGAATAGACATTTATTGCAACGCCACAAAACAGAGGTATAAAAGCAGCAGAGCTTCTTGTGGAAGAGTACGTCCATTGAAGTACTGCCAACTTACCCATTACTGCTGCCAATTAGTCATGTCAGCATTATTGTGTTCCGGTTTTGAGTATTTTTTAATTTTGTTTATTTATTCTTTTTATTTTGTTTTGTTTGTCTCAGTGTTTGCAATATATACTTTTCGTTTCTTTTTATGATATTAAGTGGCAGGACCAACAAGTCGTGCGCCTGATATAACCTACACGTCTATCTATGACAGTTGTAGTGCCTCTCAGAGCTCTAAACCGCTTAGTTCTGAAGGGCACTGCTTCTACGCCCGTCACCCTGGGACATAATTCGAAAAGTCCCATGTGCCTGTAGTTTCACCAGCACCCTTACCTTTAAAACCGAATCACAGTAACAATCACAATACTGCTTGGCGGTAGAAATAGGTAAGATGGCAGTACTTCCCCGGATGAATTCTTTCACAAGGAGAAAACTTTCCATCACGTAAAGCGTCTGTCTGTTACGTAATAATAGAGAGATAAAATAAATCGAATAGTAGAGCTACTATTAGTTCAAACTTCAGTTCTGGTATATGGGGTCACCTTCATAAAATTCTTTTCGACAATCTCTTCCGTTGGTTCCATAACATTTTTTATAATCCACTTAATAAATTATACTCACGTTTTCTTTATCCTGGGTGCAGTGGCACTATAGGTTTTACTTAGAGCCATCTCTCTCCGACCTGTCACTCGCGAGTGGTGCATCGGGCCCGATGGTAACACCTGGAAAATTATGGTTTGATTCTTAAACTAAGGCATTCAATGTCCCTAACATTTAAAGTCATATACGTCTCTCTGTTGGCAAAACTTTTATCTAAGGAGAAGGTTGGTCTATTGTCTACCACGCTGGCCCAATAGGAATTGGGGAGTTTATACGTATTCGAAGAGTATTTTCAACCTTTTTCTTTCTATTTCTTTCGCTTCTACAATAATCTTTACATTATAGTATTGCATAATAGTCCCGGGTTTGATTCCCGGGACGGAAGAAATATTTGTATGGCCTACATTAATTTCTTTTGTGAGTTTGGGTGTAATTTGTGGTTGTTTATGTGTGTGTCCATGGCACCCGCGATACAGGGTTTCCTTAGTGCAGAACTATAAAAAAAAAGTTTTTTCCAGACATCCGCACCAATTGCCTGGTTTTAAACTAAGGAATTTCCTGTAATATGATACCAGATCAACGGAATTCACTGTGGGGCACATCCCAGATTACCCAGACTAGAACTAATATAGAAAAGTTAATTTCTTAAATTGGTCCTAGTGGGAATCGAACCCGGGAATCCATCCAGAGTCCATAATGTAAACCGTTTAACCGCTGAGGTAATCAAAGTTAATTTCGGGATACTCCGCTATTCTAAAAAGTAATCTATAATGATCGTATTAGATTAAATCTTCATCATATTGAGCATTATGAATTCTTCTTATTCTTTCCGTCCCAAGTATTTATCCACGATGAATGCGTTATCCGTGAAAGAACGTGACTAAGGGACATATTAAGTACGGAGAAACTGACATAAATAATGTGTTTTATGATTCCATCTATCTTTGTTTTGGACAACCTGCGTCTGAAATAACTGACGTTACTCGAAGTACATTCTGACTAGGATATGAAACTATTTTTCCGGATTTAAATCGCGTATATTTGTTTTTTCAAATAAACCGACGTTTCGAGTCCTTTACAGGTCCTGTAACCTGACACTTCGGTTTGTGTCAAACGAACCGAAACCAAATATGCGCGATTTAAATCCGGAAAAATAGTTTCATTTCCCATGTGTAACAATTGCGAAAACCTAAGAATTCGATATACATTATTCAAAACGGATGATCGTACCTGATGTAAGTGTCGAAGCCGTACCTCCTGCACGCAGTGTATTGGAAAGAAACCAGTTGCCCCTGAGCCCCTCACTGTTCCTTCTAGAAGACCATCGTCAGTCGCTCCTGTGACTGGAACCATAATATTATTGTAAGGGAAAGTTTCCTTATCACGTATCACCTTATTGCTAGTACGTTTACTTACTAACTAAAATCCAAAATCAGGTGAAGTTTATGAAACATCTGTTATTATAATGTTGATACGTATAATTAATATGAGTCATGGTTGAATGAGACGGTAACTGTTTACTTTTGAATTGTTAGTTCCAAAACTGACGTACCCTCTGTATGGAATAAATAGGTAATAAATAATACATGAATATGTTTTTACACATTTATGTTAATGAAAACATGATACGAATCAGTATGTATCCATCATGTATTGTTACGCAGCGCCTTTATATATGATATTTCGTATATTAAACAGCATGACATATTATCATTTTTGCGGCAAAAAGAAGGTTGAACGTAGCTGAACTAGGATTCTCCAAGACATGACGATGAAGAACATTAAATACCTATCTCTTGAATAATCTGTTGCTATCTATGGAAAGATCGTATCATCCCTTTCTCAATTTGGAATCACATTAATCTTGATTGCATCCTAAAGTGTGAGCAAGAATGTGCAACCAAGGGTCACCTTCAACAATATCGCCCTGGTTGAGACGTATGTGCTTCGGCGCCGTAGGCTCGTATGGCTGTAGGCAAACGGCGGTGGCTCCAGCTGTCTGCAGGGAGCAGGTGGTAGTATCTGAGTTGCTGGTCCCAACGCCGCTGGAGTCCGAGATGATGTCGCTAGTGTCGCCCGCGCTTTTATCTGTTAACATCCACGCTTTGGGAATCAACTGGAATTGATGATCCTTTGATGGTACAATACCGAAGATCGGAGAAATGAAATTTTTTCCCTTGTATATACGTTCTGAACTGGTTTTTTCCATAACTATATGGATGACGCATTTGCGTTAATTTAGACGTTTTCAGTTTGAATGGCAGTTGCAATTGTAAACAGCCACAAAAATACTTCGAAAACTACACGATTTCCACATTCGTGTAATTATGGAATAAGCTATAGGCATAATCAAAAGATTGATATAATACTTTTTTTTTTAATCCATATATTTTATTATATCAAAAGTAATTTGTATGAGACAAGTGATCAAAATGTACACGTAACGTAACCAGTAAGATTGGTTGCAATCGTCAGAATACTTACACAGCGTAAAAGGATGCCTACAAAGTAGAAACATACCTAACGTCTCTTCCTTAGACACACTAACGTAACTAATCAATACAGTTATTTCATCTTTAAAGAGCACTAAGGTTATATAAGGGTTAGGAATTGGACGTCTAACATCATACATCTAAGAAAAAGGGGTCAATTTCATTGAAAATAACGAAGCGAAGAAGCGTGTGAAACATCTAAGTAACAATAAGGCACATAAAACATGCATCTGAATGACGTGATCGTGATATTCGTGAGAAGACTCGTGATATGGTGATGGTTGTTTCTCCGTGAGTTTGGTTAGTGCTCAGACTTGCACCAATGAATTTTCGGGGTCACATTTCGGTGCAATGTTTCACTGTAACTTTCAATAGCGCTCTTTTTTTACAAGAGAGAAATATTGAAGAACTCAAAACAAGGCAATGAGCGTTCTTCAAATAAAATGTTATTCTGTGTAGGTACCTACTCTGAAATTTGAATAAAAGGATGATACATTATCGATCTATAGTAATATCAGCGCCATCTATGGACAATACTGTAAATCTGTATAGTAATAATATTATATGTACCGACTCAATTGAAATAATTTTAAAACGTAAATTTCCTCAATATTTCTCTCTTAATTTTTGATGGCGCCATCTCTCGGTTAAAGTACGAAACATCAGCGATCTATGTTACCTGTCAAAATGCTGGCGTCATCCTCATGGCTAGGATGACTGGCATCGCTGATGCTTGAAGAAGCAGATGAGAAGGGTCTTTCGAGACTGCATGGTGACGCAGCCGGACCTTGGCGACGGAGGAGGGCGTCGAATTCAGCTGGGATTCTGGTAGATGAGGCGAGAGAAGACCGGTCTCCTGCGGTCCACCAACCACCCCATGCAGCTGAGCGGCGTTTTGGGTTGTACCGGGGAGGCCCACGGAATGGCACTGAAATGGTTCCATTAGCAACCGAAAAAACTCAAGTAAAAACGTGCATTAAATAAAATTTTGTTAACAAAATTAGATTCTTAATTCATATTTTTAGGGCTACAGAATCATATTCACTCAGCCCTGTTTCAAATTCGTTTTTAAGATTCTTCGATAATAAGTTCATTAAATGTAAAATTTGTTTTATAGCTTGATGAGCATCCAAATTAAATAAGACAAAACAAACCAACAAACCGTACAATACAATACAAATAAATAGAAAATGTGCATTAACCCAACCTGTGATATAAACTATAAACTAAATTGGCATAGATTATTAAAAAAATAACTGTTAATTTTACAATAAATACCATAACCCTAAACTTAATTATTATAATAATAATTAAATACTTCAGTGTAAGTGTTGAAACATTTATTATAGCATTCATAGTATGTGTGTAATTATTTATGAAAATGGCTATGTTTTACTATGATAAATCCCATTATTACAACCATCACCATTATGCAATGACTTAAGCGATGTAAATAGCCTAAAAATATATAAAAGGATGATGAGTGCAGACTTATAATAATATTTTACTCTATGATACGAAATTTTAATTAAATAAAAAGCCGCAGCTTGAAGTTTACTTACATACGTATAGTACAAAAATATACCTAAATAAAATTAATGAATGGTTAGAGTTAGTAATAAATTGATATAGTACATTTTTGTTTAGTTACAATATAAAAAGCGGCAGCGCAAGCCATGCAATTTACAACTTTCATAAAAAACTTACCGATTTCTTCTGACTTGTAATTCTTTATAACTTCGGCTAGTTCTAAGTTTCCTGCTATGACTGCAACCTGCAATCATTGCGATGATGAGTCCGTTAGGTGATATCCACAATGAGATTTTTAATAACGTAAGACACAATGATCCCATTAAGTATAATTTCTTCCGTGTTTCGACTAGTTAATATGGACTATTTGTTTTATCATGGACGCGTCGACGACGTGCGAGCTGTATGACTGATACATAAGAAACTTTGTACAGTATCAACTTATAAATATTATGGCGACCCGTATACAATTCTCTAACTTTTGTAATATAATATAAACTAACAATTGTTGATTTTAAAAAGGAACAGTCCCATATCTTCTACTTAGTTTTGATTATAGTGCCCTCCCTACGCAATCTTTTGGCTATACAGGAAGGGCACTATTTTCTGACCGGTACCTTATTAGTCAGGTGTTGACCCCAAATCAGCCCGTTGATATAGACTTCATCCGGTTCTCAAAGGACTAGTGCCGTACAGCACCCTCCCTATTACCCAGATAGGTAACGGAGCTGTCGGCTCGCTCACATCCCGACGTCGAAGCGTCTTTCCAGTTCCAAAAAGGAACACGTGAAACAAAAGCTAGTACCTGGTAAGGTGTTTGATTCGCAAAGTTCAGGGCCTCCTTATCGCACCCACGGAACAGCAGCTGTCTAGCGCAGGAGTCTTGTCCATTGACGGCGCAGACGTGCAGCGGGGTGTTCCCGGACGCGTTTCGACCATTCATATCAGCACCGTAAAAGAGCAAGTGATCTAGGTGTTGGATTAGACCGTTGCGACATGCCTGGAAATAAAAAGATTTATTTAGTAACAAACATACGGATTGACAAAGATTATAACAATATTATTGAAGACTACGTGACTTGAATAGAGAGACTTTTGAATTTTTTTGTTTAAACTGAATAATAGACTTGATAAATGCTCTTGACCACTACCTAGTCCTGAAGCAAAGACAGGGTCTATGATGGGACGAGCTCGTCCAGAAGATGCTTATGCAGTCGCCCCTTAAAGGTATTAGGGTTGTAGGTGCTCGGCAACACAATCAATCGTAAGCTTAAGAAGAAAAGCTAGCTAGTTAATGAGCTAAAACAGCTAAAGCGATTAGGAATTGGTTCAGATAGGATGTTCAGGATAGGAGATATGGAGACTTAACCAAGCCACCGCCGTATAAGTAGCAAAGTATCTAACTTGTTTTTATCTCTGATTTATGGACTACCAATACTGTGAAGCTGAAGCGCAGATGAACTTGGTTGGAAAAAGTCTAACGACGGAAAGAAGTAGGTTAGATAACGGTGGATCTGGTAGACAAATTGAAGAAAGTTCACTTATGAAGTCAAATCTAGGATGAACTGCTAGATGGATGGAATTCTTGGGTTTTTGCGGTTACTCTCTTATTGAAAATGAAATGTTTTCCGAATCTATCTGCAGTTTGTTAGTTTTTTCATGGTCTCATGGTCAATCAGCCGTGATCATGGGATTCGAAAAGAACTCGCAATGTTAGTTTGTTTGAAAGAGAAATGAAAAAGGAAACTTTCAGATTTGTGTATAGTATAGAGATAATAAGAGACTGAGCCTGACCTGATGCACTTCCTGCCATCCCTGTAAATCCGTAGCTCCAATAGTCGCATGATCATGCAACAACGTTTCACATAGCAGCGGGTCTGTCTTACAAGTCACAGAGAGGTACAGGGGTGTTAAACCTTTCCCGTCTTTATAATTTGGCGAAGCGCCAAGATCGAGGAGTGTTTTCACAGATTCAAGAGAGTTTTTTTCAACAGCGCGGTGCATGGCAGTGCTGCCATCTTTGGTCCGGTAGTCGAGTAGTGCTCCGCCGTTAACGAGCGCGATGAGAACTTTGCCCGGTGTTTTTAGACCGGCTGCGATTGTTAGTGGAGTGTCTGAAATAAAAAAAGTTAGTTGATTTTTTTGAGATTTTATTTTATTTAAAAGACTTAATGTATACATTGCCAGGTAAAAAATATTCTGCGAATATTTTCTGCGAAAATATTTTGCGAATATTTTTTAAAATTATAAAAAAAATATCTAATTTCTTAAGGAGACGTTCCTCGACATAACATTTCCTCAAAATAAAAACAACCTTGTACATACACAAAAAAGAAGAAATGAAGGTACATAATTCCGAACCTCATCCTATGCCAATAAAAATGTAATAAACTACCAGAACATTTTAAAACAGAATGAAAAGAATAAAATAATAATAAACAATAATAATAAATAATATTTATTATAATAATTTATTTATAATAAATAATAAACATAATAAATAAAATTGAAAAACAGAATAAAAAAATTAGGAATTCATAAATATATTGAAAAAAAATAATTCTATGAGTTATTACGATGTGGTCGAGTATTTCAATAATATAATATTACATTACATTACAATAATACAATAAGCAATAATATTACACGTAATTTTTTGTGTAGGTACTATATATAATGGCAACGGCATTGTGTGATACATTTATCGGTTGTCGGTTGTGCAGTAAGAGAGCGTTGCGAGAGCGAAAGATAATGTAGTATCAGGATAGAGACGAAATGGTTCGCTCATGTAGAAAGAATTAATGTTCAAATTTATAGAACGAATTTGGATAGAGGCATGGGGAGAGGTAGACTTCAGCGTATCTACATATATCAATCAGACTGGGGACGTCCTTAAAAAGGTCAGGTTGAAAGTGTCAAGAACAAACGAGCATGTATGAAGGGATTGGTGGGGTGGAGTGGAGGTGGCGAAAGACGCTTGTCAGGAGCACAGTAGATGAAGGTCCCTAGTCTTTGCCTACCCCGGTGGGAGACAGGCGTGATGATATGTATGTATATACGTTGGCAGTAAACATGTAAAAATAATATATCAGATTTCGTATCTCCTAAAAAATGTAAAATAATGATTCTAATCCTCTTTCCAATTCCTACACGTGATAGTGTATCGGTAGGTATGTACGTATGTACTTATGTCTTATTTATACGCTGATTATCATTATAAAAGAATGAGTTATTGTCTACAGAGATACAATGTCGACGGATACATAATTAATTACGCATATAATTCCTTCAAGGTTGAAATTTATCTTAGCTTAGTCAGGCACTGAAGAGGCCTCGTATTTCTAACGTACAAGTTGCTTGTAGATATCTTGGATCAATATTATAAATACGAAAGTAGCTCTGTCTGTTATGGTTCCATACCTAAATCACAAGAAATTTGATGAATTTTGGATATAGAAATAGATGGGACCTAGGAGAAGGACATAAGCTACTTTTTGTCACAAAAATAAATCTTAAAGGTGATGAAGTTCGCATTAAGAACCAATCACTTTTCAAGTAAGTAGTATAGTAGGCTGGCTACTCGAAGTACGTATTCTACGCAGACGAAATCGCGGGTGAAATATTTTTTTTGGTAAAAAATATCGTAATTCTGGGTGCCAAAAAATTGTTTTAGGTATACCACATGAAACAAAATTATGTTTAAGTGAAATTTTATTGCTCATCTATTCATTCTATTTATAAGCATAAATTCGTTTGTAGAATCTTTAAGCCTCTTTCTGGAAAAGTTGGAATTTTGCAAATGTGGCTTTATTACACTAAGGGTGAAATTTGTATAGAGATTTACTAACCTAGAATGATAAATATTTTGGTCAAAGAATGAGAAATTATTTAGTACTTTTCTTCTGCAATGATTTGCCTGTTGAAGAAAATAATGTCTATACCTTCTATAATTAGATCGATCGATTTCTATTTCGTTTCGTTATTTAAAAAGAAAACGAAATAGAAATTATTATTAACAAATCATGGATATGTGAAGAACGCCTAAGTATTTTGTCAGACGGTACAAAATACTTAGTGATAGACCTAACTACATATCATACTACATGTGTATGATATGTAGTTAGGCATAGATATGTTACCTATTAAACATTAGAGTGTGTCTCCGCCAACAAATTGTCATGCAGTTTGGCGGGCTTTGAATTCGTTGCGAAGTGCTTTTTTTAAAAAATAGAGCTTGTAAAGATTTAAGGCTAAAATGTCGTATGTGAGTGCAATGTTATATATTTTAAAACAGCGTCTATAATTTTTGAGTTTGGAGTAAAGAGGTTTTGATTCGTATTGTATATTTTCATACGAAATATTATTTATTAACAAAAATACGAGTTTATCAAGTTAATAACGTAAAAAGATACATTTTATCTTACGTTGCACATTAGATATTAAAGAAATCTATCCAGCCATTATAATTTTACTTTGGAAAACAAATTATTTCTTTTGAAAAACTAAAAAAAATATATTTCCTGGACAACAGCCGAAAGATTATTGTTCTGAAATTACAAAACACTGTATTTAACCTTGCAGTGCTTTGGTTTGGCACGATAAAGTTTTAGATTGCCAATGTACATATAGCTTATAAAATTGTAAGCTTAAAAAGACCGTTTTTTCAGCGTGAACTGAGATTTCTCAATTAGTTTTATGGTAGGAAATGAAACTATTTTTCCGGATTTAAATCGCGTATATTTGTTTTTTCAAACAAATCGTAAGCCTTCGAAGATACTGATCCTCTAGTGTCCCCTACGATGTAAGTAGACGGCGATTGGATGGCACATTAAATTAATATTATTATCAACATGTTCATCGCCAGCTAGCATTTTGAAAAATGTTCAAAAAATGACATTGTCTTATATTTGTTTTGTTTGTGTATTCTTTATATAACTTTTTTGATCTCATTTGTATATATGTATATAAGTCAACCGTGACCATGGGACCTGTAAAGGGCCCGAAGCGTCCGTTTGTTTGAAAAAACAAATATACGCGATTTAAATCCGGAAAAATAGTTTCATTTCCTATGTGTAACAATCACGAAAACCTAACAACCCGATGTGTATATAAGGTTTTTCGCGATATTTCATTGTTTGGTTCTATTTTGGTATCTTTTTTAGTTCCGGACGTTTCAACCCGACGTGGCTTAATGTAATAATTAAGTATTACGTTTAGGCCACGCCGGTCGCAATACTGTATACTAAAAATGACATACGTCTTTTGATTATAGATTGACATTTCACATTACCAATTTTTTTTGCTTACTTTGTAACTTTTGAATTCAATTTGGAATTTGTATTGTAATAACAAATTTTGCGTTGACCGATTGTATAGTTTCAAATTTTTAGAAATTTTTTTGATTCGAAATATTTTTTTTTTCTCTAAGTCTAGAAAAGTAGGTATGTCATAAAAAATTCCAAAAATCAAGTAGAAACAAAGTAACGAACCTGCTAAACGTCTGTAAAGAAACAATAGAAAATCTCTGCCGCGCCGGTTAGTTTATAAGGTTAAATACGTAGCGTTTGCCACCTGTGGCGGGAACGAGCATCGCGAAGTTAGGTATGTCATGCCGGTAATTTTAAGCCCCCAAGGCTCCTATAGGTAGATGAGCTGCCGGTCATTTTGACCCACTGCGCGATAGACGTGTTAACAATTATATCAACAACTCCTTACCTCCAGTTTCCTGGCAATGGAAGTTAGGATCAAGACCCTTAGCGCAAGCCTTGGTGATCTTGTCGACCTGCGCGTGCGTTACGTGCTCGAGGAACCGGCGCAGGTTGGCACGTGAATGCAGTGCCTTTAAGGTCTTCTCGTCTAATTTTAACATTTTGTAGACTCGACGTTTGTATTTTAACTGGAAAGAAAATCAGTAATTAAGTTTATGCAATCGGCACGACTACGCAAGTTATTGTGAACGCCTGGACCGACTAAGAGCTAGGAACGGCTCAATTTTCTAGAGGGCACGTAATAGACGACTATCACAAAAAAATATTAACAGTCCTAAAACTTTTTTTATATATAATACCAAGTGACGGGTCGAACAAGTCGTGCACCTGGTAGTAACGTTGCAGTGTTACCCAGAGCTTTAAATCATAAAGACCTGGAAGCACCGCCGCTGCGCCCGTCACCCTGAGACATAAGTTGAGAAGTCTCATGTGCCTGTAATTTCACCAGCACCCTTACCCTTCACAACCGGAACGCTGTAATGTGACCATTACTGGTTGGCGTTAGAAATAGGTAAAGTGGCTGTACTTCCCTGGACGAGCTCTTTCACAGGAGCTCTACTGCTACTAAATGTTAACAGTCCTAAAACTTCTTATTTTAGTGAAGGTAAAGAAATATACATTGACCTCCGTGGTCGAATGTTTGCACACCGGTTTCCATGGTGTCGCCATTTCTGAGGTCCCGGGTTTCAACCCCTGCCGGATCAATGTGGAAAGCTCACTTTTGTATATTGTCTCGGGTATGGGCGTCTTAACAAATTAAATTAAGAAATTAAGAGACGCGTGAAGCGAATGAAGCTTCATAGTCTTAGAAAGTACACTGTTTTTTTATTTGTTTGAATATTACTGATTTGACAGTAATTGTTTCGGATAGATGATGGACGGGGGAAGGGAGTAGACCCCCTGGGTGTTTGTGGTACTGTCGTTGTTTCTGGTTTCCATAACACAAGTACTTTAGTTACTTACTTTGGGATCCGAGTAACGTATGGACAGCCTTGGCCAAAAGTATTGAGCACTTATGATAACTTATAGTTTTTTGGAGAATATCAAATTGAAATATTGAAACAAATACATGTTCGGTTTCTTTTAGGCATATTGCTAACAACATCGTTAATGTACTAAATCAAAACGCATAAGATCACTGGATATGATCCAATTAGCGACAGTAGCGAACTGACGAATGAATAGGTACTAAATGGTAAAATGACAAATTTTATTTCACCAGAGTGTTTTATAGCTCGGTGCGGTATGGGGGACATTATTTTTAAACGCCGCCTTCGCCTTTTGGATGTCGAAAAAATAATGCTTAAACCATAGCGTCTGTTTTCTGCAATATTTGTTGTGCTCGTTCAGAATTCTTAGGGTGCGATGTACACTTGCGCGCAGCAGTACCTCTACTATGAATTTACAGAGACAGTAAAGTTCTGAATAGCGTTTTTTTATAATACCAAGTGATGGGACGAACACGTTATGCGCCAGGTGGTAAGCGACACGACTGTCCATAACAGTTGCAGTGCCACTCAGACATTTCCACTATGAGCTACTGCGCCTGTCACCCAGAGACATACGTTGATAAGTCCCATGTGCCTGTAATTTCACCAGCGCCCTTACCCTTCATAACTGTAACGCGGCATTACTGCATGGCAGTAGAAATAGATAAAGTGGCAGTACTTTCCTGGACGAACTCTTTCACAAAGAGCTCTTCTGCTACTAATCGTAGATTGCGTTGTACGGCAAATGTACAATGCCCCTAGCGGTCACAGGCGAAAGTAACATTTTGTATAAAGATATTACGCGGCCGCTAACGACAACTGTCGCTGTCAACTCATGGTAGAGGAACAGAATTATCGAATTTGCCATAAATTGGCCGACTAACAAATTAATTTAGAAGATGCCAATCAATCGTCCAGTTAATCGTTAGGCACTATTATTCACCTCGAGATATCCAACGGGTCCATTGAAGGGGTAGTCGCCGAGGCGGCGTTCTTCGTCGAGGAACTTTCCCGCCTTGCCGTTGACGGGCGGGCAGAACAAACCATAGTTGAAGCTCTCTTTTAGTTCCTGGAAAAAAAATGTCATTATAAATAAGGTCTACATAAAAATGACAGACAAAAATATATAACACAGGAACATAAGCGAGATTCTGATCTCACTATACTCGTCAGTCGTCATCACGGGACACATATACCACATATATTTAGTGTTAGTTTTATTTGAGCTAGTCGATACGTGAAATATAACTCTCGCATTAAAACGTAGCTAGAGTTACCAAAAGGGCAAGGTCTAAAAATAGCTTAAACTCTCACCTTTTAGTCTACGTGATATACGTAATTTCGGATGATGTTATTTAAGGCTAAATTTGTTGTGTCGATTTGGATAAATAAAGTGCCATTATTATTTTTTACCCGTTTTTAAAAAGGAGAAGGTTCTCAATTCGACTATGTTTTTTTTGTACGTATGTGAACTGATTTTGATGGTTCTGTTTTGTTAGAAAGAGGATACTTCAGAAGTGGTCCCATTTAAATTTGGAGAAAATGTTCCACGTCTAAGGGTGGCAAATGAATGAGGTGGGATGAATGACTTTTCAGGTCGGTTTTTTATTTATCAACTAGGCGGAGAATTACTGTTATAACCAAGATTGTACTGGACGAATTTTGAACGTAATTACATGTAGATACAACAGGTTTATCTAAAACTTAATACGCCGTGCAAATATGCGACCACCGCAAGGATCAGTTAGTAATTTGACGCCCTGTGCACGGTAGAAAAAGACAATGAAGTGCCTTAAGACTCGATTATTATAAGAACTGCTGTCGCCAAAACTCACACATTCATAATTTAAAATACTCTGAAATTTTGATAATGGTTTGTCGATTGGTGATAACAAAATATGGACTGTTAATATAATTTAAACTTTACCCTGTTAGTATATCGTTGAAAGTTCAATACGTATGTTATTGCAAGATACGACGTTTTGGTTTTGTGTCGAAATTTCAATCAATGTGCTGTCATCTAACGGTCAATAGTTGAACGACGACAAATTTGAAATGTTTGCTGAGTTCTCCAATAAAAAAGCGAACATATTGCAGCGGTATAAGGTTTACTGTCATTTCTTGTAACAAAAAAAAGTATTACGATAAATAGAAAATCGAAAATTTATTAAAATTAATTAAAATAAGACATAATGATGACATGAAACATAACCATAGATAATATTACAAGTGCCACTATCTTTTTTGCACTCCAAAGAAGCAGAATAAGATTTTTTACGATTTTCGAAGTTTTGTGCGCGTTAATTGACACATAATGTACAAAGCGAAACAAGTTAAGCCAATTTAAAAACAAAGTAGGTAATGTTATTACCTATAACTAAAGAATTATATAAACTGGTCTTATTACACAATCTCTATTATGAAGAATAAATCAATAGCCCTATTAAAACTACTTCCTTAAACAGTCAAGTTTGCATATTAAATTGGTTGTTTTTTTCCGTAGGTAGTTTTGTGATCTAATGATTGTGCGCAAAGAGTTTTCATAAATGAAATCCTGCGAGGCCCTGGGTGTTATAAAAGTGGTGCAAAACATTCGATTATATAAGTCTTATCAGTAAACTTAAGATTCACTCATCACTTGGTATTTATTATTAAAAAAAAACTCTGATATGATGGCTATGCTGTTGACATAAATGCCAACAGAAGACAGTCTTAAAATGATGTTAGCTATGTTTGTATCGCACTCTGCGTAGGTATGCGATTCTTGATTTAACTTTTTTTTGGAAGAAAATTGCTGAAATGAATAAAGAACCAATCAATCGCCGTAGTGCAATTTCCTATAAGTAATCGATTCGTCTTAATTACGACACGAGTTAACGTATTACTTAGTAATATCGAGTTTGTAATCGATAATGAGTACAGCACGAGTATAATAAATCAAGGTTGGTAAGGTTCAGAAGGAAGTATCTGCAACAAACATATAGAGAAATTCGTATGGTGTGCTGGCTGTAGGTCAGCTGGTAAGGGCAGTAGCCCCGGTATGCCAAACAGACTGTTCGAGTCTAGTAAGATCGAAGGAATTGTTAGTGTTGTTCGATTTTTGTAGCAATAATATTAAATGAGCACTTTACAATACAAGTACCTAAGTTTTTTCATGATATTACGTGTCGGGACGAACAAGTCGTGCGCCTGGTGGTAAGCGACACGCTAGACAAAGCGTGAAACACACAGAGCGAATGCGGGTCGGGCGCTAGTCGGGTAGGGACCGCGGCGGGTTTAATTCCGTGTATTACGTAGTAGACGCGTTTGTTGTGTTTCACGCTTAACTTAATTTGCAGTGCTATTCAGAGCTTTAAAACACAAAGATCTGAGGGGTACTGCCACTGCGCCCGTCACCCTGAGACATAAGTTGATAAGTCTCATGTGCCTGTAATTTCACCAGCACCCTTACGCTTCAAAACCGGAACAAAGTAATGCTTACATTACTGCTTGGCCGCAGAAATAGGTAAGGTAGCAGTACTTCCCCAGACAAACTCTTTCAAAAGGAGCAAACTTTCCATCACGTAAAGCGTCTGTCTGTTACATAATACGCATAACAAATGTGAAACAAAGAACACAGAGGAATAAACAATATGCATAAAGTTCTATTTATTTGTTATTTATTACACCCATAAAAATATTGAATTATGTAACATAATTAGCTGTCAAAGCTGCAGCCGTAAGGCAAATTAAACAATATGGCTTCCAGGCAATTGACTGCGTAAGATCTTCAAAGATCCTGCAGTTTATAGTGATTAGCTCCGTTTATCTATCATAGAAAAGTAAGCGCCGCGGCGTGTCAAGACGAATAATTAATATTGGTTATTATATAAAACATCTCATCATCGCGCCGCCTTCATAAATAATGAAGCTTAATAACACTTCGGATTTCTGTAAGAAAACCTTAACTAAATGTTGATATTTACGCCCAACTTCAAAACTAAATTTAACCTCCCCTTTTCAATGGCGGTAAAAAATCAGAACATATAATATAGAAAAATATTTCTTATTATTATAAATAGCTTCTATTTTGTAAAAATAATTCATAATATAGTTTTAAAAGTACAGTAAGAGAAGTAGTTTTTACATTTTATCGTCTCTTCATGATGTCGTAAATTTGATTTAGCGATCTTGGTTTTTTTTT